TGCGTGCACGCATGTGTTTGCCCCATATGGTGCCGATTGTGGTCACATACGTCTTTCTTCTCTTTCTCATTCTCCTGGGTGGCTACCAAACAGCCAGTGCATGCCGGAGTATGTGGTGTGTGTGTGTCAAAAAAAGAAAAGAAAAAAGAAAAAGAGATTTGCTGGCCAGAAAAAAAGTCACTTCAATCAGCTGTGTGGTGCAAATCAGCCTTGAATTCAATTCATCAGCTTTGCTAGCTGTTGAATGGTGTAAACCCAGCACAAGTTTGTTCGCTATCATCGTTTCAGCGATGGCCATGTGGAAGTGGAAGTGTGTGTGTATATACATACAGCATTGCGTACATGGTGTGTGTGTGAGCACGCACACCCATGTGCGTATGTGTCAGCGGGGTGTGAGCGTGTTCTTTTATTTTCGGCCATACGGTGTATGACCCGCCCTCGTCCTACATACCGTAAAATTCCGTAAATAAGCCCACCCTGAATAACGCCCATGTCCGATAATAAGCCCAGTTTTAGGCGGTGTACACTTCAAGTCCGTTTTAGCGCCCATGCCCGAAATAAGCGCAGGGCGTAAAGTGGACAAGTGGTTTACCTATCAAAACTGTAATTTATCGCTACGTTCTTGGTTACGGCCAAATTTCCAGCTGTGGTTTGATGTACCTGTACCGCGCTCAGTGTGAATGGTGGTTCACTGAAACTAGTGGGTTGCTGATAGATTGATCTTCTGCAGATTGCGCCCGAAATAACGCCCATGCCCTAAAATAAGCCCATGCCCAAATATACGCCCGGTTTTTGACGCTCTGCAAAGTATACGTCTGGGGCTTATTAACCTGTCCCCGGGGAAAATTGCGGAAAAAATCGCAAAAAACGCGGCATAATATGGCATAATTTGCGGTGAATTTGTGGTAAATATGCGGTAAATATGCGGTAAATATGCGGTGAATAATATTGATGTGCGGCAATTTTCAGTGAGTATGTAGTGAAATCAATCAGTTACAAGTCTCTGGTGTAAGCACTCGTCATATTTGAGTAAAAAGCCGCCACGATGAGACGTTGCTGACCGAACAGTGCACTGTGTACGTGTAGTGTAACAAAAAACTTCAAAAAACGCGGGAAAATCGCGGAAAACGCGGTCTTTTAAAAAATCGCAAAAAACGCGGAAAAAAACGCGGCCGCGGAATTGCAATTTTCCCCGGGGACAGATTAACGGAATTTTACGGTACTTGGAGTTTGCATGGTTCTCCAGCAGGCATTGCAAGATCTACATACAGGCGACTCCACTTATAACGAACTCGCATATAGCGAATTTTATGTTATAGCGAACCATTGTTCATGTCCCACGGTGAACCCATACACAATTGATCCTTTATAGCGAACAGTTTTCGTTTATAACGAACCAAATCTTGTAGGGCCGCATGTAAACCAAGTGCACTCATACTGTCATGGGCCACATGCCAGTCATGACTTGCTGCTTATAGTGTGAGTGCATTTCTGCTATAGCGAGCATCGGCTATAAAGGACTATTCTCCTGCACAATGATGTTCGTTATATCAGGAGTCGACTGTACCTAGTGGATGTGAAAGAAATTTTTGAATTTCGGATGGGCAAACACTGCCCAGAACTATCCCAGTGAGGCACAAGAAAATGTTAGCATACAAAATGCCCATGTCCACATAAATCTGAACAAAAATACCTCTGCCTTTGTTCTCATCGCGAGCACATCTGTACGGCTTGAGGCTAAGGATATTCGGCCTGACCAATCGCTCCAAATCCAAACTTTGGCCGTTCGCTGCCATTTTCGAACGACCACGAGCAAACTGCAATGCAATCTTCAATATCTTTCTGCTGAGCATGCACCAGAATTTGGAAGAGATATCTTGGATATCAATGATTTCGGACGCACAGTATTTCGAAACACCACTACAATACACCACGTATAAAACGTAGATTCAAATAAAATAAAAAATACAGTACGTCAAAACATGACGTAATGGGCCCAAAAGATCAAAACAAAAAAAGAAGAAAAATGAAAGCACGTGAAAAGAAGCGCAAACCCGCGATTTGACGCCATGCATTAATTCATGGGTACGCGCGGCGACCGCGACCGCGACCGCGGGTAGATCTACAGTACCGGGTATCGGGTGGATCCGTCATATCACACACGTACACACGTACACACGTAGATCTTTTTGTAGATCTACACAGGTACAGTACATGTACAGGACCATACCATGATCAGAGCAGAGATCACGCACTCGTAAACTATGCACTGAGACCGTACTGAACTCTGAAGCTACTTTTGTAGATATGGACCCGCGATTTTCAGCAAAATGCTGTGCATGCCAGTTCGTTCAAAGGCATCGTTGAAGCTTTGAAGTTTGAGAGAAGCTTGGCATAAGTAAAATAAGTGCAGCCTCGCCTTCTTTCCTTCGTAGTTGGTTCTTCCTTCCATTGGTCAGTGAATGAATCCTTTGTTGGACAACTTTCGGTTCTTATCTCATCTGTGACTGAAGATCAGGCGGAGCCTGTCCCTTTTATTTGGTGAAATTCGCCCACACAGTTGCCTCCAGAATAGATTTTGAGCAATAGGATTTTGTGCACGCCTGGAAGGTCGAGGGATCGGACGTGGCTGGTGGTTGGAGGAATGTCATGGAATGTGAACTGGTTACGTGACTGCTTTCCCGCAGTTGTTTAGGCGAAGAGCCTCTGTGCAGTGTGTGCTGCTATGGTGGGCTCAGCACTCTCTGCCTGCTCAGATAATATAATTACTACACCTCCTACTAGGTCTGGCTATGGGTGTCTTGGTGAACAGACAAAGCTTGATGATGCGCTGGGCAGTGCCCTACACACAAACACCGAAGGCAAGGAGAAGGAGCAGAAGCCAGCTTCTTGCTTCTTCAACCTTTCCTGGACCGTTGTCATCACCGGCATTATAGCAGTTCTGGTTTTAGTTCTTGGCCGACAGTATTTGCGTAGTTTGCTGACCATGCTTGGCCGTCTACGTGGCTGGCAGAGCGCTCTAATCTTCCTGATCCTGTTCACCATCGTCTGTTTTCCCATGACGTTCGGCTACTTCCCGCTCAATGTTGCGTGCGGATACTTCTACGGCTTCTGGGCCGGCACAACGCTGGTGGTGGGCTGTGTGACGCTAGGTGTAACGGTGTCGCTGGTCGTTTGCCGGCGCTGGCTGCGCCAGGCTGTGCAATCGCGACTGGAGTCGGAGCACCTCCGCGCCGTCATGCGTGTTGTCGAGGGGCGGCAAGGCTTTCGCGTTGTGGCGCTGACCCGGCTCACACCGATCCCTTTTGGACTTCAGAATGGGCTGTTCGCGGTGAGTCTCTTGCAATGGTCTTTGTCCCATTGCATATACATTTTATCCCGGTCCTCCAGCGCATGATCAATTAGTTCAAACTCCCCACCAGGTGCGCTCTCCGGCCGACCTCATTCACCACACCGGCGTCCGGAGAGCGCATGTGGTAAGGAATTTGAAAATAAATAAATGATGAGCGGGCCGAAAGCTGCTGCTTATCCGCCTGACTTTTCCGCCACATGCTCCCACCGAACACTCGTGCTACTTACCCGATGGAGAGTGATCCCGACACCATGAAACCATTTACGCACGAACTCGGATAAAAGGCGTACGCCTCGTAAGGTAGTTAGTACACACGAATTTCATGGCACTGATGTTTCCCCGTAGAAATGCACACCGTACCGTATTGTTATGACACACTGGTAGCTTCTATCTCAGTCAATAAGTGAATTTGCCTTCTGTATTCTGTCCTCACAGAATTACGCGGACAAAATCCTAAAATTATGCGCATAATTAGGCGGGCGAAAACAGCTCATTAGGCGAGACCAAAAAAATAGAGATTCCCGGGCCCTCCCGCACCAAAATCGAGCCAAAGCCATTTTTTTTTTTTTTGAACAGTTCATACATGTACAGTACTGATCGTGTGAGTAGATCTGTGACGTGGAGTCACACAAACCCGAGCTTGTACGACTCCCAGATGTACAGATCAGGGCCATCGTTGGCCGAATTATAGAAAATTGAACGGCTAAACCGCGTACCTGTTTTCTGTAAAAAAAACTGAATAAAAATTACCGGAAAATGCTGTAAAAAAAGTTCAACATGGCATGCACACATATCATTTTTTATTTTTTTATTTTTTCCCATGTATGTACGTACATGACTATAATTATTATAGTCATGTACATACATGGGAAAAAATAAAAAAAAATAAAAATTCGCCCGCCCGCACCAATTTCACATGGGTCCTGCCCGGGAATCTCGATTTTATTTTGGTCTCGCCTTATGCGGCAAATATGCGGTCATTATGCACGAGTTATCTGTCATTTGTACAACTTTAGCGTGTAGTTTCATGCAAGTGTACAACTTTGTCGTACAAACTCATGGGCCGGTACAACTTTGTAGTACATTTTTCAGCATCATGTACTATTTTCTTGTACATTCCCCATCAATAACGTGGGTTTTATGCAAAATCTCTCGAAAATGCGGATGAAAGCCAATAACGAAAAATTGCGCGTCCGCGGAATCGTGGTATCCTGTGGGGACAGTATTGGATATGCCTAAGAGCTGGGTTCGAGGCTTCTGAGACTAAGCCTGCTTCTGAAGCACCCTGCGTACTTGTCCTAAGTACATGGACAGTGAAACCTGTCTAAGGCAACCGCTCAAGGGACCTTCAAAATGTGTTCGCTGTGTACAGGGTCCCCGTATCCAGTGTCGTGTGACTGGAAAAAGCACCCCTTGGACTCCTAGTTGTAGTGGTCCTCTGGAGCAGGTGGTTGCCTTGACGGGTGTTCCTGTACGTTTGCCATCCCTGAGGCCAAGGGCTAACGTTTTAAAATTATCATCGTTTCACTGTATCGTATGCTATTGTTTTCATTCTCGGTATCGCTGTCCAGCATTGCTTGCAAAATGAGTAAACGTCAATATCATTTCCGTATACAGTCGGACCTTGCTTAACCACACACATCCGTTTTCCACGAAAATATCCGGATAGGCGAGGGAACCGGATAACCGAAAACCGTTTATGTTGGATGCATCACATATGCTGTAAATATGTAACCAGCTATTTTCTTCCGGATGGCGAGGGATCCGGATAAGCGAGGTCTGACTGTACTGCTGTCACAACAGCAAACTCGCAGCACTTGGATTTTTCTGTTCCACACATCGTGTTACTTGTTGCTTTTGTTGCCTTTTTTTGGTTGTGTGTCTCTCTCCAAGCCGTTCTTCTTATCTTGCCGAGGGTTGTTTGCTGCTGCGTACATTGCAGATAACGAGCATGCCCGTCTTGAAGTGCACCCTCGCCAGTTGCTTGGGCCTGCTGCCCACACAGATCATTAACACTTATGTGGGCACGACGCTACGCAACATGGAGGAGATCTACACCAGCCAGGCGGACAGCTACGTCATCCTCGTCGTCCAGGTGGTCGTCACTGGCTGCCTCCTTGTCTATGTGTTCAGGCGAGCACGGCATGAGATCAACAAGGCCATGGCGCAGTCGGACACGGAACATCGCAGTGTCACCGTGGAGGAGGGCCGTGTTGTCAACATCAAGATGAAGTCCATGCCCAGGACTGCCTCCTCTGGCACATTAGCCTCCAAGGTAGGGGACATTATTGCCCCAGGGTGTGTGCCATCCTTGTGTGGTTCTCTGGTGAATGGGTGAAGTACATGCTCATGTGCTAGGTCAGCCTTGTGTGGTTCTCTGGTGAATGGGTGAAGTACATGCTCATGTGCTAGGTCAGCCTTGTGTGGAACGTATTACCGCTTTCATGTTGACGTAAGAGTCACACGACTTCTACAGTACTCACTGTTTGTGTGTGTGGGGGAGGGGGGGGTAGATGGAGGTTTTTTTACTTGTATTGTCTATGCATTGCACTCTCCATGTGAACAGGAAAATGCCGGTACATGTATTTGGAAACCCGTACTCTATATGGTGCATCTTCCCCCCACCTAGGGCCAGGCTTACCCCCACCTAGGGCCAGGCTGGCGGGGCGAGTCTACTGTGACTGTACTACACACTGTACTACACACTGTACTACCAGCCCAGTATTATGAGTCGTGCAGTGTTGCCAGTTATACTCCAAATCTCTGCCCGTCCTAATAACCCCCTCCCCTCCCCAGAACTGTACATGTATCTTGTACTGGGCATTTGCCACATGTAACGCTATACACTTATACTGTAAACCGGGAAACCTTTGCGATCTGAAATCCCTCGTCATTTTCGCGATGGGTGTGAAATTGCAAAGGTAAGCTGGTGCGAACCGTAGAACCGTAGAACTGTAGACTTACAACTAATGAAATTGACTCCTATCGCATTTCCAGGTGCAAATTGGTCTGTGTTTGCAAATCGCGAACTAAAACTGACGCAAACGTTTCCCGGTTTCCAGTGCACAAAATTAGTTGTAACTTACAGTAGAACCTGCCTAAGGCGACCGCTCAAGGGACCTTCAAAACCTGGTCGCTGTGTACAGGTGGTCTTCTTATCCAGGGTCGTTTGACTGGAAATAGCATCCCTTGGTCCTGGTTGTAGTGGTCTCCTGGGACAGGTGGTCGCCTTATCCGAGTGGTCGCCTTGACAGGTTGTACTGTACCACGATGTACGTAAATGCAAGGCAATATCACACCGCACAAACTGCCGCAGATACACACGCGCACACATACACACACACACACACAGCATATCCGTGTTCCCGCTTTGAAGCAGACTGGCTAGTGTGTTAGCGCCAAGAATGGAAAGTATCTACATCAAGTCCAGGATGTATCCTACTTGTATTTCTGCAACTCAAATCAGAGTCAGAGCGCGGGTAAAACAGGTGACCCAGAAAGCTGGCGTGGGCAGAAATATGAACAAAACTATGTAACAGTAAACGTGTTGAGTAAGAGGTGTGAACAATTACCCCCCCCCCCCCCCCCCGTCCGTTCACCTCTTTCCACGTGTTCTGTGTCGGCTGTGTACTACATGTGCCAGTGCCTCTCTCTCTCTCTCTCTCTCTCTCTCTCTCTCTCTCTCTCTCTCTCTCTCTCTCTCTCTCTCTCTCTCTCTCTCTCTCTCTCTCTCTCTCTCTGCCTCTCTCTCTGCCTCTCTCTCTGTCTCTCTCTCTCTCTCTCTCTCTCTCTCTCTCTCTCCACACACACACCACACCTTGTAAGTTATAACGCAAGTGTAGGGCTTTCTTACGGAATCTGAAAGGGGTTTTGCTTTGGGGTTTCAGGCAGATTGTGAAATCTTGGACAGTATCCATCAATGTGTTTCTTAGCTGTGCTTTGTTTTTTGTGCGTTTTTTTGTGCATTTTTATACTCCGGGTGTGCGTGTGCAGTTTTCCTCTTCCAATGGCCATGTTACGACACAGGTTTCCGCGATGCAGAGCCATCAGCAGCATCGGCGCACAATGTCAGCTACTAATGTCCTTCTGGCCGTGAACGAGCCTAGGCCGACCACGCCAAACGCGCTGCCGTCCGACTCATCCCAACCCAGCTAACATGAAACAATCCCATAGTCATAGAACATTGCTCGTATCTGGCTATCCCCCTTTCTTATTCCCCTCCCCCTCCTTTTTTCTTTTTTCTTTTTCTTTTTACATACAAAACATGTTTGATTCTTGACATTGCAGCTGGGACATGCGTGAACGCTACTGTGTTGGTGGAGTATTTATTTGCCAGCCCCTCGTCGTCACTGTTAGCCCGGCACTACTGCTTGATTTAGGTCCCGTGTACTAGTAGGTGTGATTACTGAATGCATAGGAACTGACTTTGGATGTTGCACATCCTCTCTTTCCTCTGCCTTCTTTCTTTTTTAAAATTATATTAGAATTGTATTTAAACTCTCCCTCTGAGATCAGGTGTTTATCTGCCACTTCAATGCTTCTGCTGCTGTTGAAAATACCCTCTTGCCCCGCTCGTTCCTGCGCCCTTTCCTGAAGATGGCATTCCAATCTCCTTGCCGCCGCACCATCTCCCAGTGTGTACGCCCACTTATCCACGTTGCTACTGGTGGCAGACCTGGTGGAAGAACATTCACTTACATAGATATCTATTTTTTTTAATGTTAGTAACCGAATTCTGAGTCGCCTCTTGCGATCCCTGTTTACGTTGTTAGTTTTTTTTTTTTTTTTTTTTGCTTTTTTTCCCGCTTTCTATGAGCATATCGAGACAGAGCGGAGTGTTTTTACTAGTGCGGGTTGTAAATTGTTCTTGTTTTCTGGTGTGACTTGCATTCCTTGGTTGCTTGTTGCCGATCTGATGCCAAGGGGTATTGTTGGGTGCATGCAAGAGTGCATGGGTGTGGGTGGGTGGTCAACCCTGGTAGTGGCAAGAGTACATACCCCCGAGAGTTTGCAACTCGACTACAGGATATAGGATGGGCCCTGTCCCGACAGAATTTCAAGTTGACATCATTTTTATGATTGTAATGCACTGTACACGGATTATCAGACGAAGCCGGAACCTGTACATGTGCATGTGGTGGACCAAAGCCCATTCTGATCCTGTACGAATTATTGCAAAGAAAAACGTGTGATGCGTTGACACCAGGGTATTTGACGACTCCCTGGTTGACACCCGTACACAAGTTGTAAATCACCCTCTATAAGTATCCAGGCCAGACGAGCATGCATATTGCAGCAGTAAAAACGATTTTCTAATCCAGCAGAATTTCCATAGCACAAATTGTGCCGGATTATAAAGGGACCACTGTACCTGCGTGTGTGTGCCCGGAAGCTTTGCAGTTCAAACGGCCATCCGATGGCCGTTTGAACTGCAAACTACTTTCAATTTGCGAATGGAATTGGAATCTCTTCGTTGTCATCTCTAAAATTTATTCTTTAAAATATCTGTCTACACCAGGGAGTCCTGTCTATACCTTGTGTGCAGAATTTCCTGGTTTGCACACATGGTATAGACATCAGCCATGTACTGGGGGAACAACTCAGAAATTGAAACTGATTTGTTGTTCAGCTGCAAACCTTCGAGATCATCACGCATGAACAGCAAATAGAAACTGTCAAACTATTAGCTCAACAAAGTTTATAGCAATTCGCTCACCGAACGTACATTGTTCATAATTGCTGCATTATCTACCAGAGAGGGGTTAATGGGAGGAATGGTAGGAAAGAGAACGAACGTGGTCATATTTACAGCTTTGTGGCATGAATTTACAGCGGGCTTCCACGTTTCTACAAGCAAGAAAAAGTAAGATTCTAGGAAAAATCCAGTTGACTAGGAAAATAATATGACGATGTCGTGTTAGCAGTGAAAAAAATACTCTACACTGTAAAGCATAATTATGACATCACTTGGAAATACAGTTTGACTACATTTACATGTATGTACACACCGTTTGACAAAAACAATGGAGTACTGTTCGTATGCCACTAACGCATGGGAGGTAATAAAAAAACGGAAAAATAGAAGGGATTTAGCAAACGATGCAAAAAAAAGAAGATGGAAGAAGTTCAAGGCAATTTTGACCAGCAAAACGCATGCGGTGGCAGAAAGGTGCGCTCATAACAGAATGCACGGAGTGTGATATTTGGCCTCCAGGAAACGCTCACAGAGCTTGACGACCTCGCGGCCCATATCAATGAACTGACGATTGGCAACGCGGAACTGCTCCTCGCCATCGTCAGGCGACCAGAAGCGGCCAGTGGAATTGTCGTGGAAGTTTGTCACGAGCATCACGTGATTGGCTGGAAGGTTGAAGCGGTCGAAAGCAGCGAGAATAATGTCGACCTTCTCTTGCTTGACAACTTCAAAATTGCGACCCTCCATGCGACAGCGCTCGTGTATTTGGTCGAGAAATGTCAAGACGACCATTGGTTCATAACCTACATAGGATACAGCAGCAAACAGTTTAAAAGAGACAGCAGTCACAGCATGCGACGCAAACAGTTAACACAACATGCACAACACGAGCCGCAGCAATTACACTAACGCTCTCTTCAAGCTATTTTCAACCTAAAGGAGGCCAGAAAAAATGAAAACACATAGTTGCTGCATGCACGAACAGAAAAGTTGAGAAAACCAATATCTAAATACTAGCACGTACCAGCCTTCTTGCAGTCAGCAAAGACACGGATGAAGAAATCGCGGCTCTCGCCGGCAAAGAACGGAACCTGGTTGCCATTGAAGACAAAGACAACACCGTGCGGCATGTGATTTATTGTTCTTTGCCAGGCGAAGCGCTGCTGCCACCAGGAGCCGGACAGGGCGTTGTGAAGACCGATGCGAGAGCCGTCACGGAAGTAGCCCTGCATTTCATGTGCGTGGACGATTCTCTCACTGTGATCGTAGTCCTAGACGTCAACCAAAACATACAAAAACAAATAAGCAGTGCATCATTATCGACAAGTCGACATCATCATTAAACATCACTCAGAAAGTGGTAGACATCACGCATCTGCATTGTAAATAAAAGGGAGTTTGTCAACTGTCAACCGCTCTACTAAATAGAGCGGTTGTCAGTTGACAAATCCCCTTTTATTATTTTTATGATTTTTATCACAATCAAAATTCTATCCAGTGACCAATGGTAGAGATTTCAACTGCCCTGACAGCAGTGCTATTGCTCAAATGAGTCTGAACTGACCTGACTTCAAACAGCTGGCCTGTACGTGTCCTGTAAGTCTAGCAAGGTACGTTCAGGCCTGGTTTTAATCTGGCTTCAGGTTTTTACCGTACCCCGTCGTACCGTTTCCCAGGGTACAGCCAATCAGCACCGTTCCTGAGCAGCCTTTATGGAGCGATAAAGGCCAAATCGATGGAGAATAAAGCTGCTTCACGTGATCGTGTGCAGCCAATCGCGGCTGCACCAGGTTCGTACAGCTGCGGCTGGCTGCGCATGCCCACGCCCAGTAGGCGTGGGCATGCGCAGCCAGCCGCAACCATACCATTCCTGGCACAGTCGCGATTAGCTGAACTTACCTTGTTTGCTGTGTACCTACCTTTTGTGGTTTGTCGACTTACCTGCATTTCCAAATATGGAGCCATCTGCCAAGCGATTTGCTCCAGTTACAAACAAGGATCTGGAGGACCTGCTGTCTGCACGTGTCCCAAAGTCAACAAAAGAAACAACAGCGTCGTGGATGAGGATGTTTGAAGAGTGCCTAACTGGTTTGAACGAAACGACGTGTGACCTAAAGAAATGCACGCGAGAAGAGCTCAACAACATTCTCTGCCAATGCTATGCGACCATGAAACGCAAAGACGGCAAGCGTTATCAAGAGCCAGGGTATTATGGCTTCCGTTCTGCTATACAAAGACAATTGCAGGAGAATGAGAGACAGTTCAACGTATTCACCGATTCCGAGTTCGAAAAGTCGAACAATGTGCTCGACGCGGTTCTGAAAAAAAAACAAAAGAGAAGGCCACTGCACACCTGTGCAGCACAAGGAGCCAATCTCGGACATCGATTTTGGCAAGATTCGCGAGTATTTCAATACTCACAAGTCGGCAGTTGACCTTGCCCGGCATGTTTGGTTTAGTCTGACCTTGCAGGGCATAGCTTAAGGATTTCATTTAGCTCGGACAAATGTTCTTCCGTTTTGAAATCTGTCCGGACATGCCCAGACATTTTCCACGACACATTTTTAGGGTGTTTCTTCTTTTTTTTAGTAGTGCTGAAGTATACTAGTATTCACAATGACTCATTATGTGGACGTATCTCACACATTACTATGTACAATTCGCCAATTTATTTGTATTAGAAACTGAACTATTTTCTGACGACAAATGTATGTACAAGAAAGCGTTGCAGTCAAGAATTTTGCGAACGCGATATGCTCCTTGCAGAGAAGGTAAGTCAGTTCGAATTTGCTTCGTGCAATAGCGGCAGCACCATCGTCCATCTTGCACAGTGCCTTCGCAATTGGAGCGAATTCGAGGGCATTTCGAGCGGGACACTCTTGCCTGCGGAAAAAATTCATTGCTCGTTTATGCATCTCCGTTCCAGCATGATCCTTGAACGCTGATGTTCTCAGGTTCTTGGATCCGGTTATGAAAGCCTCGCTGAAGTTTTTACAACTGCGGACTCTGTCTACAAACTTGATGTAGACGGAACACTTCAAACATTCTGCTAACAGCCGATCGTTCTTCTGCTGGTCATAAATCAGCCAGGCGGAAGTAGTCAGCTCTGCATCATTGTCCGAGATCCACTTATCGCAAGAAGCGGCCTTCACACCACGGACTTTTTTGCCCGGCGGCAAGTCCTCTGAATCTCCCTTTTGCTTTCCACAAGACATTCTAAAAGACTATCTGCATTCCTGGTCAGTGAAAGAGTGAAAAATAAAAGATGACATCTTCCTCTCAAGAGCGAACAACTGCACTGCAGACTGCAGTTCAACCCATCGATTCAAGTGCGAAGTCGACACCATGTACCAAAGATATAACCAGAAGGCTGCGCTTGCGCAGCGTCGTTGTCCCAGTAGTTCTTACAGTTGTTCTTCTGGTAGTCCTCCGAGTTGTCTTCTCCTCATAATTGTCCCAGTCCACTACTTTAGTCCTCTTTGTGCTCACTGCTCAGTCAATATAACTGTTATCATAACCTACAATTCCGTGCTGCCGTATAAAGAGTGTGATAAAGTAGAGTAGTAACGTAGAGTACAGTAGTAACTTACTAGTAAGATACCCATATATAGACGGCGTACATTAGACAACAAGTCTACGCCTGAGGCTACGGTGTAGACGTGTTAGTTGTATGATATGCAAGTCGCATTTGGCACGAAGCTCCGAAGAAAGCCCAACTCTGCATAAAAAGGTCGAAAGGTCCCTGCTCTTTCTTTCCTTTTTGACCGGACACTATGTCCGGTGAAATTGAAAACGTCCGGTCAGTGGCCGAAAATGGCCGGAAAATGTCCGATGTCCGGCCGTTAATCTATGCCCTGCCTTGCATCTTGGGCTTCGCGGTAAAGAGCTGCAAGAGCGGATATTGAAGGAAGACGTACAGATATGTGAGGACGAAGAAGGAGAATATGTACGGCTGTCGGCAGACTTTGCCACTAAGAACTATCAAGGTGGCAAAGGAGCACCAAGGCGCGATGTTGGTGCAGGGCGCATCACTGACCCGGAGCAGATCATCAGCATCAGAATGCTCCTCAAACATCTCCACCCTGATTGCCCTCGCTTGTTCCAGAGGGCAAGGGTGAACTATGCCACTCGCGAGCCAGTGTGGTTTTGCAATGCACCTTTGGGGAAAACGACACTGAACAAAACAATGCAGGACATCTCGCGGGTAGCCAAGCTAACAACAAGCTATACCGACCACTGTTTGAGGGCCACGGTGGTGTCCATGGTATCAGCGAATGGCGTTGAAGAACGCCACATTATGGCAGTGGCGGGCCACCGGAATTCAAAGAGCTTGTCCAGCTATTCTCGGCCATCGTCCGCCCAACAGAGAAGCATGGCCGACATCCTCGACGGAAAGAAGAGGCAGTTGAACCGGGAGTCAGGTGAGCCTGTAGCAGTAAGTAAAACTGATCGTCCGGCTTTCACGGAGCAGGAAGTGGCGTCAATTTTCAACATCAATGACCTCGTCAGTACGCCGTCGGAGCAGAATGTCGACGACATTGACTTGTTGCTCCAAGGTGCTTCAGCGTCGGAGTTGAGTGAACTGGAGCAGCCTCAGCCAACTCAAACTCCCCAGCAGCAGTCCATCAGCTTCCGCGGTGCTAGTTTCGCCGGTTCCTCCATTACATTTAACATAAATTATTAGCACTACTCATCCTGAACCCTGCTCTTGCCGTCTTGGTATACACTTTTACTTTCTTTGAGCTGGCCTCAGAATGTCTGAAAAGTAGTACTAATGAAAAGTGAACAACTACTTCCGAGAGCTGAATCTTTGTTGTGCATGTGTACCGGTACTTTGTTTGTGTACCCAGTAGGGGTAAAACGAAGGTCTCAATTTGCCAAACAAACCTTCTTCATGGAAACGAACGAAGGTGTCGAATGATTCTTTTACCAGTTCACAGTTCCTCTTGAAGCACACTTTGTGCATGTGCCCTACAAAGTACATGACTGTGCACATATTTGCTGTGCAGTCACACGCCCATAGCTTTTGCAGTGCGCAGTTTGCACCCTAAACTGCTCAAGACTACTTCTGCACACCTTGGTCGCGAATGGCCACGCTCAAGGGCAGTCCGTGGCCTACTATGGACTTGCAGTGGCACCTACCGGGAGCCAAGTGGACACAAAACTAGTCGACTGTACAAACTACAGTACAGTTCCTCCTGTATACAAGGAAGATCAGTGCATGTACATGTATGTGCATGTGTGTGCAGAAATCGTGTGTTGACCTTCTTTTGAATTGAAAACGAAGGTTTGTTTCAAATTAAAACGAAGGTTCTTCGAACCTTTGACACCTTCGTTTCACCCCTAGTACCCAGTCATCGCATGCGTGGAAACCGGAACCACAATCATGGAGGTGTAGCATGGACTTCATGGCTGAATCAAGGCCTCGTGCGTACGGCCACGGGCGCAGGCCTCGGCGCTATGCACCTTGGCCTGCGCCCTTGGCCGTACGCACTCGGCCTTGATTCAGCCATAAAGTCCATGCTACACCTCCTTATTGTATACTTTGGAAAATATATTTTTCATTGCTATCGGACCCGGCCTCATTTTCTCTGTGCTGCGCTGATGAGTCCACAACGGACGAAACAGTTCTGTCCGCAGATTGAGTGTACTGCAAGTCTACACAAATTTTCGGCCCAGTCAAGTTTCGGCCTCCCAGGGCTAAAACCCATTTCGGCAGCATCAAATTTCCGGCCTGTACGAGGTGATTCGCGATTTTTGGACAAATCAGTTAAAAATATGGAAGTAGAGTCCTCCTGAGTCGTTGTACTTTCCTTGGTGGACAAACTTTTGACAAGAGTGTCTTCATGTGGTCCTCAAGTTTCTTCGTACCTATTTTTTTTGCGGTGAAAGCCGTTTCTTTCTTGAAAATTTCGACTAAAAAATAAATGATGGAGGATTCCATCGACTCTACGTCGCATGACGGAGAGAATGTCAACATGGGCGATGTTGTATCTCTTCCATCAACCCCAGGGACTACGTCTTCCACCTCGAATCCGCCTGGAAGAGTCTCCTCGCCTTCTCAGCCGGTGAGTTTGTCGAGGGGTTCTGGTCAGGAGAAATCGATTTTAGCAGTGCGAGCGTTCCACTCACCTGGCACCAGTGAAAATTTTCTAACCAAGAAGGACGCAGCAGCTAGTTACGGCGTTAGCCCTCCACTCTTTGCGAAATATGAGAAGGAGATGCGCCAGACTGGAGTGCTCTCCTCTGTTCTTGATGGGACGATTCCTGCTCCTGATCTCCCGATGGATTCTTTCCACTTAACTCAACTGAGGAAAGTGTGGAGGAAATCAAAGTGCTGCTGGAGTCCCGCTGCTCCAGACTTGGTGACAGCTCCAGGTATGGCAAGCATGGCACTATTAGTATTGGCATTCAATGTATCGAGAAGGACGATATTTGTCCTCTCTTTTTCTTCTTTATCCTCCCTGTCTGATTTTAAGAAGCCAGCCAGCCTCCATCTGTTTAAATAAGTTCCACTGTCGAGTTATTGATTAGATACTACGCTGCTATCCTCCCATCGTTCTTCTGCCTTTGATTTATCATGCTTTGTGTGCCTTAAATTCTCCTATTTCTTCCTCCAATCTAGTTTTGGTTTGCTTCTTTTTCCTTTCTTACTCTTCTTTTTTTTCTTTTCTTCCTCCCTCTCTTATAGGGGATTCACACTCACGGGGAAACCTCAGGTCACGGGACAAGGTAAAAGTTCAGACCTTCGGTCAACGGAATGGGGCCGTTAACACCCGTGGTCAATTTTCCCTTGGCCGCATGTTTGGCCATGCATTTGTGGCGGGGCAATTAAAAAAATAATCTGCACTGCATTTTTGTAGTACATTCTGTACTGTATCTTGCATTCGCCATGCACAGTTTTTCGATGGGCACTGTCTGAAAATGCAGGTTGCGAGGCACTCGTACAACTAGGGTTCAGATTTCTCGCCAAAGACAAGATCTACGCATGCGCGTCTTATAGCCATGGGATTTTTCCCTTGACAAATGCCCTGAGGCCCACGGCCACGGCTTTGCCAATTTTTTCCTGAGAGGTTCTTCCTTTCCCCCAGTACCATAGTTTCCATAACAACTTTCCCATAACCGTGGTTTTACCCGTGTGTGTGAATCCCCTATTACCAGTTTTCCCATCCCACGTCTCGTTTTTGGTAGGAATCGGAGAATCCTCTCTCCGGTGAGAAGGCAGTATTGCCTGTGCCCTGAGCGAATTGAAATAAAATACAACAACAACAACAACAACAACAACAACAACAACAACAACAACAACAACAACAATGTATCTCATCAATCAAGCGAAAACAGGAAAACCCCTCGACAGGCGAACAACCTTTGGGGAGTCCGTAAATAAATAAATAAATAAAATAAATAAAGGGGAAGGGGGAAGAGAGAAGATCAGAAATAAATGAAGAAGGCACAAGACAAATATTTGTGCCTTTATCTCACAGTGAAAAAGGGTACTGTAAGACATGTTATTATCACGAGTCGCAAATTTAACGATTATCCAAAATTTAAAGGTTAACGAGAAGATATGTTAACGATCTTGCAGTATTCTGCCATATCCACACACAGCATATATGAAGCAGTACGGCCTCAACAGATCTTATTATAACGAAGAAATGTCATCCGTTAAAACGTTAGATTTGCTTCCTCGTTATATATACACGTCTTACAGTATTGAGTATTTTTCTGATCTTTCTTCTTTTGACCACCAGATGTCTTCTTGAAAAGAAAATGACAAAAGGTTACGCTGGCAAATCGTAAAAAGTGACCACAAGAGAGTTGAACTCAAAGCACTGTATCTAACACACACCGGGTGCAAATAATGGGTTTGTCACGTGATGTGAAGCTCTGCCGTCACAGATCCCATAGATAGTTGGAGTTACACACTCTTGGGATTATGTGCATGCTAATTATCCCATGAGCAGGAGGGGATACTGTGGAATAATAGGTCCCGGGCATTGAACTGGGAAATTATGAGAGAATCTCTAAAAAAAATGCATTGCCCCATTCATACTCGGGGTACTCCAGTTGCGCTCACTGTTTGCACTACCGTAGTCAGCCAGCTATTCTTCCTGTTTTCTCCTCTGTAAGTCCTTGTATCTTTTTGGTATTGATGCTGGTCACTCAGCCCCCCCCCCCCCCCTTCTTACAACGTAGATGGCTATGGCTTTCTGATACCGTACAGATGTGCAAGCGCATTCCACTGCATACCAATAATCAGAGGTGTCGGAAGGTAATATAGTGTGGTACGGTCAGCCATCTGAAGTTCAATTTACTCGTGGAGGAGGGTTGCTGAGCCGAAGATTTTGGAAATTTAGAGCCCAGATCATTGTATTTTATTGATTCACAGGGTACCTGGGGCAAAAAGTGGTACGGTCAATACTGTAGTGACCGTACCGTGTTCGATGCGCCTGACCATGCTGTAGGGCACAGGAAAGCAGTAGCTAGCTGGCTGTGGGGTGGGACGAAGTGTGTAACGTGCTATACAGCGGGGAGTATTGGAGGGGAATATCGTGCTATATTCCCCCGCTGAAGAAGGTGGGATAATAAGTACTCAAGTACTCTTGGTTGGTAGCACGCACTCACCTGGTCTCCCTTTGTGTCTTGGAGGATAATCGTGCCTTTCTCGTTGGCTTTAGTCTCCACAAACGCCAGCGTCCCGTGATCGTCCGTACTGGAGCTAGGAGTGCTGTCTGCTGAAGTCTCCGGCTGGGGCGAGAACGCAATGGTACCGCCAGTCGGCTCCTTGCGCAGGCTCTTCTTCACCGTGTCGGGGAAATCTGGCCAGTCGGATATTGCTCGGCACAGGCTACCGATCAACGAAGATTTCCCGGAGCCCACCGGCCCAACAAATATCACATCTGAAGACATCAGCAAGTTAAGTCACTTCAACCAGACATAGTTTCTGCAAAAGTCACCACACCGGGGCTCACAGCACAAATTTTGGTCAAGCAACACATACAATTGTAGGGTTCCCTGTAAGAAGGCAAAGGCCTGTTGGGATTCTCCTGTTTAAAAGCAGAGTGTAGTGTCTAAGAGAATACGTCTGAAAACATATTGGAAGTGTGACGCCAGGCCCAGCGCAAAACACAACTACCGAGCATGCAATGACATGGTCCACAAGGAGTTGAACATGGCATGTTTCACAAGGAGTTGAACATGGCATGTACCACAAGGAGTTGAACATGGCATGTACCACAAGGAGTTGAACATGGAATGTTTCAGGATACTGACTGAGTTAACGATAGGGATAACACGCAGCTCGCCCGTCATCGGGTCCGTTGCATCCGTCTTCATGCTGGGTGGCTCATAAGACCGTAGGTACTCGCACCTCTCATCTACTAAGCTCTGAAATGCAGCCATGATCACCAGCCCACAGCATGCACTACATGTACATGTACTCCGCAACTGCTAATGGATAGAGCCACAGTATAGCAGAATGCACACATGCACACACAGGACGCACACGCTGGGGATTTCACGGAAGAAACTATTTGACAATGCGTCCGGGCAGATTCCGCATGTTATTGCATTTGCTGGGAAGAAATCCAGCCATGTGGACAATCCGATTCCAGTAGGAAAGCAGCAGCAGCAGCAGTGATCCAACTTCTCTGATCTTTTCTGTGATCAAATTCTCAGGACCTTATACTTTGATGAAATGAATGCGATGAAAAAGAAGTAAGGCTCAGCTCTAACTTGATGGCAAACGCATGTAAGCACTAGTGGTATGCCGGTAGATGGTATGCTCGGATCATAAAGAAGCCCCGGGGAGTTCTTCTTTCGATCAAAATTTCAGGAACACAGCACTAGATGGAACAAACTTTCTCGTTCTTGCTGGGTAGATCTACAAAATTCAAGAACTCCAACACTCAACAGTCGACTAGTCACCAGTCCAAGGCTCCAAGACTCCAAGTCCAAGCTCCAACTCTGTCCAGGTGTAGTGACGACACTGACGAGGTCATGATGATGACATTATTATGTACATTGCGTAGGCCAATGACGTCAATATGACGCAAGAAAATTGCACAAGCAAATGAGTAAAATGACAATGTCTGTGTGTGTTCGAAACCAACAATAATTGTTCCAGCCGGCCAGTTATGAGCGATCGTAGGCGATGAAAGGAAACTTCTAGGAGGAAGGGATCAGTGGGAAAGACGGTTTTTAGACGCCAGATCAAGCCATAGCCATAGCCATTTCAGTTGAGAACAGTGCCAGCAACAAACGCATCCTGAGGGTTCATTTTGTTCCCAATTCTTATTTGTTTGGAAGATTTCTGCAGCAAAGCAGCTGCATATGTTGTTTCTTATTCTAGACTGCTGCAAGCACTGGTCAGCGTAGGGATAAAGAATGGATGCCATTCATGTGGATCTTGGCAGCCCGGCTGATGATCCGAGGGTGGACGACGTGCATGATGACCACGACTCTGAGGGCTCGCCAACTGAAGGAGAAGTGACTGAAAATATCGAGTCTGGACTCGGGGAGGCCCATCTGGAGGCTGTAGCTAGTGAGGAGAATGCACGCAGTGACTCCAGTGGAGATCATAGTGTTTTAGAGGACTCCTCTGAGCATAGTTCATTCCGCCATCGCTATTACCGGTCATCTCTTGATCCGGTTGATGTGTTCACCGGTGGTGTATTTGCCACGAGCACGTACGATTCGGACATGTCGAGACGAAGTAGCATGGAGAGCGTGGACAGTCCACGAGGTGCACTGGCGGTGGTGTCAAGAACTAGTTCAACATCGTCATCTTCATCGTCAGATTTATCTCAGTCATTGTCCGACGAGCGTTCCGGAGTCGTCATGGCGGAGCATTTAGACACGTTCTCTGGTGCGTTCAACAGCGAAAACTACCGTTCAGCGTCGACCTTCGTCGGCAAACGTCACCATGACAGCAGTCCTGGCCTTATTCACCGAGTGACAGGGTATGTGTCCGGCCTGACTACGGGTGTGGGTGATAGCGACGACTCGCGCTCAAAGTCGGTCGACTCTTATGATGAAGAATTCCGAGCACTGCCTGCTGGTGATGTGCAAACGCACGGCCAACCATCCCCTGCCAATGCCACCACTGCACAAGATCGCCCAGCCACGGCTAGCGCTGTTGCCGGTATTGCGCACGACGCTGGGCAAATCTCCTCTTCCAGCTCGTCCGTGTCGTCCAGTCAGAGTGCACCCAATGATGAGGAATTCTTTGCGCCGGGAACCAACTTAGACAATCCGCAGCTGAGCTCTCATCCGAACATCAACCTGCCACCGAACTGCAACGCGGTGGGCGTGATTGGCCGTGACTTTGATGAGCCGCAGGCGATTGTGCAGCAAGCAGTGCATGGCGTGGAGATCAGCAGGCCACCCTGGAGTGACGTGTACTTCCGGCCGATGGTAATACCCAGCAAGGACCTGAACCGCACCGACTGTCGCCAGTACCTGAACGAGGGCAAACTGCGCATGCTCATTCTGTGCTACAACACCACGGAGACCAGGCTAATGCTGACATCACCTACTGGTGGTTACTACAAGTATGTGCTGCCTTACGCCCAGCGTCTCTACGGTACGTCCTTGCATTTATCTATCAATACGGCATACACATTCACTATAGTTAGCAGTCAGGATGGGGTTTCCTTCATGAAACTTCCCCCGGAGCATTCTGATTTGTTTGATGCAACCAGAGGTAGAAGCGTATACAAAAGTACTCAGTAGTGACCGCAGTGTATCGTTCCTGCTTCCCTGCCATTGATAGCATCAGCAGCAGCAGCACCTACAGAAAAGTTTCCCTTACACTGTCTTCATGAGCAGTGCTTCCTTATCATGGTTTATGTATGTAACCTTCTAGGGTTAATGTATGTTGGGATAGTGCCACCCAGGACTGGTGTATGTTGGGATGGTGTTGGCCAGGACTGGTGTATGTTGGGATAGTGCCACCCAGGACTGGTGTATGTTGGGATGGTGTTGGCCAGGACTGATGTATGTTGGGATGGTGTTGCCCAGGACTGGTGTATGTTGGGATGGTGTTGGCCAGGACTGGTGTATGTTGGGATGGTGTTGGCCAGGACTGGTGTATGTTGGGATAGTGCCACCCAGGACTGGTGTATGTTGGGATGGTGTTGGCCAGGACTGATGTATGTTGGGATGATGCCACCCAGGACTGATGTATGTTGGGATGTTGTTGGCCAGGACTGATGTATGTTGGGATTGTTGGCCAGGACTGGTGTATGTTGGGATAGTGTTGGCCAGGACTGGTGTATGTTGGGATGGTGTTGGCCAGGACTGGTGTATGTTGGGATGGTGTTGGCCAGGACTGGTGTATGTTGGGATGGTGTTGGCCAGGACTGGTGTATGTTGGGATGGTGTTGCCCAGGACTGGTGTATGTTGGGATGGTGTTGCCCAGGACTGGTGTATGTTGGGATGGTGTTGCCCAGGACTGGTGTATGTTGGGATGGTGTTGCCCAGGACTGGTGTATGTTGGGATGGTGTTGGCCAGGACTGGTGTATGTTGGGATGGTGTTGGCCAGGACTAGTGTATGTTGGGATGGTGTTGGCCAGGACTGGTGTATGTTGGGATGGTGTTGGCCAGGACTGGTGTATGTTGGGATGGTGTTGGCCAGGACTGGTGTATGTTGGGATGGTGTTGGCCAGGACTGGTGTATGTTGGAATGGTGTTGGCCAGGACTGGTGTATGTTGGGATGGTGTTGGCCAGGACTGGTGTATGTTGGGATGGTGTTGGCCAGGACTGGTGTATGTTGGGATGGTGTTGGCCAGGACTGGTGTATGTTGGGATGGTGTTGGCCAGGACTGGTGTATGTTGGGATGGTGTTGGCCAGGACTGGTGTATGTTGGGATGGTGTTGCCCAGGACTGGTGTATGTTGGGATGGTGTTGCCCAGGACTGGTGTATGTTGGGATGGTGTTGCCCAGGACTGGTGTATGTTGGGATGGTGTTGCCCAGGACTGATGTATGTTGGGATGGTGTTGGCCAGGACTGATGTATGTTGGGATGGTGTTGGCCAGGACTGGTGTATGTTGGGATGGTGTTGGCCAGGACTGGTGTATGTTGGGATGGTGTTGCCCAGGACTGATGTATATTGGGATGGTGTTGCCCAGGACTGGTGTATGTTGGGATGGTGTTGGCCAGGACTGGTGTATGTTGGGATGGTGTTGGCCAGGACTGGTGTATGTTGGGATGGTGTTGGCCAGGACTGGTGTATGTTGGGATGGTGTTGGCCAGGACTGGTGTATGTTGGGATGGTGTTGGCCAGGACTGGTGTGTGTTGGGATACTACTAGTAACCGTCAAGTTGTAGGTACTAGTAATCCGGTGCTGGGATGGCCGCATGACCATCACTGTCCATGTAGGTTGGACGGAATACAGTGGATCTCTGATAAGATGTACCCTACCCATGGGCAGTATGAAAGTGTACTTAGTATCCAAGGTACTAGTCTTATCACAACATACTGCAGTACTGCAGCAGTATAGATCAACACACCCATGCTCCGGACAATGTCCGTACTAAGCAAGAGTATGTATTATCAGAGTACTTGAAGTACGTACTAAGTGAGTTTCACTTGCACTTCACACATTTGTAGGAGACTGCCAGGAAAGGTAGAGTAGAACCCGGGTTAGGGATCCACCTAACTCTGCGCGGACATAGCTGGACTCAGTTGTACAGGGATGGGCAAAAAGGTGTGGAAAACGACTTTTTGTGAGTTGATGGACCCCGGAAAAATAGTTTGGAGCGAAAAAAATTACGGCTTCCTCGGAAACCGACGGGGGACCCCCCTTGGGCCGGAAATTAAATCCCGGTATAAGGACCACCCGCACAATGTACATGTACGTGCCAAGTGCCCCCCCCCCCCCCCGGGCTCCGATCCCTAATCCGGTGTGACCCGTTACCCGGGTTCTACTCTAGCAGCAGGACATCGTCTTACCTGCACACTGGTGTTGTCAAAGTTCTTCAAACTGAGTCTTTCATTTCCCAAAGTATCTCATAATTATATGTGTGCTATGCGTGTCGTAACGCGGAACATGAGTGCTAACTACAACCATGTACATGTTTCCGATTTTGACAGCATGTTTCTAGGCGAGGACGCACAGTAATCCTGGCTACAACCATAACCCGATTGGCAGAGTCCCGGTCTTGCGACCATGTGAACCGTATGGGGAAAAACCCCGGTTCGGACCCTCTTTATTCTAGGGGCGGTTGACTTTGGAATTTTTTTGTTTTGCTGATAACGACCTCCTAGAATAAAGAGGGTCCGAACCGGGTTTCTTTCCCTATACGGTTCAAATGGTCGTAAGACCGGGACTCTACCAACCGGGTTATGTTTGTAGTCAGGAGCACTGTGCGTCCTCGCCTAGAAACATGCTGTCAAAATCGGAAGCATGTTAAACTATCAAGCAAGGCTTCTACATGACTGTATATAAATCGTGTACATGTACTTCAGTAAGTGTTGCTCATTCGGCTCATGCGCACACACTGGTATAAGAATAGCTTTGCCCTGTTGCACACCACCTGATTTGCCCTGTTGCATGCCACCTGATTTGCCCTGTCACTGCAGGTGTGAACAAAGTGGTGATCGTGCTAACGCGCTGTAAGACACCGAGCGAGCAGCTGGTTCACCCCGCACTGCACGACCGTCTAAAATCGCAGCCCCTAATGATGGAAATGTTCAAACACCGCCTGGTTCTCTCTTGGGATGAACACGCATCTGAGAAGCAGCAGCAGCACCTCCTCGACTTGATAAACGCCACCCCTGTGAATGCAGACCAAGACTGCGTTATCCTATGACGGCGTGTTCTTATATTTTCAAAGAATATCTCTTATTTTCACGCTCTCATAAGGTATGCTGTCAAGCAAGTCTGTTGGACAGCACCCTTGATTTTTCGCTTACCTGCGTTTGTCAGGAAATAAAGTTTTGCTGTCTGGCTTATGTTATATGTACTTCATAGCAGCTTTGCCTTGCTGGCGTGGTGGAAGCATAATCATCGCATGTTCATGATTATCAAGTACGTATGCAGTACCCACGTACCCAGAGTCTCTGTTCTCTCTCTCTCTCTCTCTCCTCTCTCTCTCTCTCTCTCTCTCTCTCTCTCTCTCTCTCTCTCTCTCTCTCTCTCTCTCTCTCTCTCTCTCTCTCTCTCTCTCTCTCTCTCTCTCTCTCCTTCTTCTCGCTTGCTGCTGCTGGATGGCTGGCATTGCTGATTCATTTTGCAATATTCTATTTTTTTTAACGGCTGGTAGCGCTTTGAGCTTTGCGGCATACTTTTTATCACCATGCCGCTGGTTATGTGGAGTTCTTCTGGAATGGTCTTCCCATCAATTATGTTGTTGCTCGTTCTATTGCCAGGGGTGTCTTTATCGTATTGCTGGTTTGTTGGTGGGAAGGCCGACCCCGACACCAGCAGTCCCAACTATTATTGTAGTCAGCAGACACATTCACAATACTGGTAGGTACATTTTGGTAAGTACAACGAAACATCTGGATGCTGATTTGTATACCCATGAAGTAAAGGTGTATGTACAATCACAGAGATCACATAGCTTGATTTACGAGATATACGTCTTTTATAATGTACTTCAAGAAGTAATGAGTACCGGCAAGAAAGAAGTAGATCCACAGGCTTTGCATTATTATAACAACGTCATTCAGTATCCGCACTGCAAGTAGATAAGACAAGACCAGAGGCTCCAATGGAGTCAGCATTACCATAAATTAGACCTGTTATTTTTCAGGCTGAGGGGATTATTGAGGGAAATCAAAGTGCTTGGCAAAACTGGCATGTATGTTTCCGTTCACGCAGTCACTATGATGACGGGGATTGACATTGCATTACGAGCGGCCATTCTTGTAGCAGAAGGAGCATGGTAATATTCATTGCATAAAAAAGCGTGCAAAGTAATGAGCTGATTCTGATAAAGAACCCTGTGAATACTAAGTCATTTGATAGATCAAGCGGCTTGATTCAGGGCTGTGTGACTGTTGTGTCTGTACATAGCAGTGACGCTCCAAGTAACACTCGGGTGTGCTAAGCCCGCAGGTGAGCTTTGTCTGGCATCGATCAGCCTAAACACTAATGCTCCACGACAAAGACCAGTACGATTGTGATGACGGCCTCCACAATCACAGATGCTCCGGTTGCATATAGATACCACTGTGACTCCTTGGAGATGATATTCTTGCGCAACCAGTACAACTGCAGGCATAGTAACGGGCATCCGATAATTTCAGTGACAGAAACCTACTAAGGGCACAGTGAACGAGCTGGAGAAAGCAATGGCAGCATCAACCCACGGGGCAGTGAAATAGCCAGAGCCATTGTGTCACATTCCTTGCCACTCAATGGTGCAACAGTTTCCAACATCATTGATGTGTACAACTATACATGTGGCCGAAGATGTAGCGGGGAGTGCACCCATTCCTTTCCCCCACTCTCTTGAACTGTACCGTGCTGGGTTTGTGCCAATAGCTGAAGGTGCATGGCTGAAACTTAGACTCATGGTCAGGTTGTAGCACCATGCACAGTCTGTGGACAGCACCGTTTTTTTGTACTTCTATCTACCGATGAAAAGGCCCCAACAATGACAACGACAGGGATAAAGAGGAGCGGCAGTCGTTTTCGTCAAACGTGCAGAAGACTAGATTTGGTAGTATCCAATGGCAGGAAACATTTTTGAAAAGTGCATCTAAGAAGTGTGCACGGTTCCCGCAGAACAGTGGCCTTCACACCCATGGTCTCTGTAGTGTATGCACTGATAGCAAGAGTACATAACCACCTGGTTATGTACTCTTGCTGATACTGATGTACACTCATGGATACTTCTTTCGGCATCACTATCATATTGATTCACAGACTAGAATCTCCTGATCCGCGGTAGAATCATGAATGCACTGTGATGACGCACATATGCCGTCATGTTATCTTTATCTTACTGTTATGCAAAAAGGTTGCGGCAATGGGCAAAAATTAGAAAATGCTACATGTATCTTGCTAAACTTACCACAAAGTAGTGAAGCTGGGCAAAGGCTGCAACACACAGAGAAAACCAGGAGAGATTAGAAAAAAAACTGGTGATGTAAAGAACTGCAATTTCCAAGACACTATTTCACCGAACGAACGAAAACGTATCTGCTATTCTCCCTATACCTGTCTCAAGTGATGCAGTTCCAAAACTAGATTTGTGAAGCCGTCTGTATTCTCGAAGGTGTCATGGCTCTCCTTTTCCATAGTCCCAATGTTGCTGATACAGATGAGATTACCTTCACAGCATTGCCAGCGTGTATACATTTCGCCATCGCATATCTTACAACTTGTATCCGCTATTAAAGTCTGATGTTTTTCGAACCTTCAAACCTCCCTTCCGAAAAATCTTGAAGCACTGATAGATTGAATAAATTTGAATCATCGAGTATCCATGACAGCCGTAAAGTAAACACACTGCAGCTTACAGTACTGTCGGGCGCCGAAGAACTGGGTTAAGTTAGTTTTAGCGAACACAGCAGTTTCGTTCTTTATTCGAGGGTACAGTCTTACATGTACTTTTATGCAGAGTTATACATGTACCGTAAAGTACCGCCAGAGCGCCCCACCATCTCATCCTTTCGTGGTCGTATTGTGGATGTGGTCTGCTGTCTGTAGGTCATATAACATGAACCTTGTACACATATTGCACGTTTTGCAGTCAATCCGTACCTTCGAGCGGACACAAGCTCCACACAAAACCCTGCCACGCGTGACCTTAGTACACTAAGATTCTCACATCGTACAAACTTCGTTGCACTCTGCCATACGATTTTCCTTTCTCAGGCTGTAAAATCAAGGTGGGGCGCTCTCGCGAGACGGGGCGCTCTGGCGGTACTTTACGGTACATGTACGTCTGAGTGTACATTGTGGTGTATACTACGGTTTCCGTTCTTATCTGAAAAAAAATCCAGCCTACACCGTTCTTAAAAAATGGTGAAATTCTAGCCTGGCCGTTCTTTGGTGCCCGACAGTACTGTAGTGGCAGAAGCATTTCTGCTGCAGGTGTAGCCGTTCACAGCATACCGTGATTGTAGTTGATATGTCACCCACCATAGCCGCCAGTCATAAGTGAAGCTAGACTAATGGAAAACATGCCTTGAACTGTGTTCTATTTTCGTGTTGGGAAATGAACTTAGCAGACAGCTCCAGTTCACTATCTCATGGACCATTCGGGGCCGGGCCAGCTCCCAGGTCCTGAGGGGTGGTACGGCCCTAGGTCAGCTACAGGACCGATCATCCCCCCCCCCCCCATGTCCAGTTTCAGTGTCACTGTCATGGACGAATCCATCAATCTAGCTCTATGCGGCATCACTGATATCTGGTTGTTTCAACTATTTTCCAATACCAATAGACATGCGACTAGCACAGTACTACTGTTGTCCTCAATAGACAAGAAGAACAGTTTAGGAGGGAGTGACTCCAGCGAGGATAACTTACTAGCACTTCCACATAGTTTTAAAAATGATGACATTCCGTGAAAGGCGGAGTTAGTAATAAAAACAAAATAGCTTGGCCATGGCCGTACAAGCGGTACCAGTGGCATCAGCCCAACCTTTACCTCAGTACTATCAAGAGACCGTCAAGCGTATAAAAAATAATTTAAAATATGAATCTGTTATAGAAAATATAACGGATCCGTTTCCAGGGCAGGCCAAGAGCCACCCGAAGTTTCCGCTTCCATGGGACGCCACCACCCGATGACCAGGCGCCAGATGCAGCTCCTAAATGGAGAGTCGGAGAGGATAGATCAGATCCACCAACCAGAGGCCAAAGGCTGAAATCAGATTTGTCGGATGTATTTTAGTAGTTACCCTTGTGCCAGGCCACAAGTTCCTAATTCACCGTGGGTCACAGCATAGCCATTTACTTACCAAGTAAACCAACACCAGGGAGGACAAAGAAAGGATTGTGTTTTGTGATGGTTTGCACCACGCTAAGTCCAAATGCAACCTGCAGGAAGAGTCCAGTAAAGAGATATAACCGGCACAAGAAGCTCATTGAACCTTTTGGGTCATCAAACTTGCAAGCAAGCACGGCTTCCTAGGAGATAAAAAGGTGTTTTAGGGAATTCACCCATCATCAGTTGAAGCTCAGTAGGTGGAAGAAGTTTGTACCCAGAGAGGACCACACCTTTAAACTTTATAGTGCTCCCTACTAGTCCCTAGGCACAAGTACTACGAGGGATGCAAACTTACAGACTATTGCATACAGGTGATGGCACTAACTCTGGCATTGTTCACATACACAGGGAAAATGAAACCCTCAGCATGATATGCTACCCAGGTTTTGACCAGAACCAGAGGAAGTGAAACATGAGCCTCATGCATATACTGTGCAGCAACTGCCGCCAAAAGAGCCCCCTTAACAAGCTCTTGTCAGTAGCATAAACTTGTGTAATACGGTTGCCACTTGTTGTTAGTTTTGTCAACTTCTCACCTGCACCATTGCCGCATCGTATCTGCACCCGAATAGGTTATCCCAGGGCCGTTTAGTACAGATCCACGCATGGGTGTAAAAAAGGATACGGGTGGGGTGAAACCCGCGGCGGCAGTTGAACTGTGTCGTCCACTTTCGAGCACATGTAAGTTGATGTAGCTGTTACATGTGCAAGATAGTGGACGGCGCTGGGTTATGTAAGGTCATCTTTTATACGGAGGTTCAAGTACCCGGCTTTTTGCTATTCCAAGTCGGTCAGACAGGACATATGACTAAGCAGTGACTTACCACTGACATGAGTCCAACAAACACGGCCAGAAGAACAGTCAGTTTCCGCTGCAGTCAGAAATCCCCGCATGCGTGCGGACACACGCACACACACATGTACATACACACAGACACAGACACACACACACATGCATACACACACAGACACACACAGACACAGACACCCACACACAGACACACACACAGACACAGACACACACACACACACACACACACACACACACACACACACACACATACAGACACACACACCCACACACACATGCATACACACACACACACACACACACACACACACATGCTGTCACTACAGTAGTGCTATAACAGCTCAGTTCATACCTGATGCTGTTCTTATGTCTATTGCTTCTGGGTTTCAAGTTCTCCTTTGCTAAGAGTAAGACCAGCAGTTTGCTCTCTAGTGTCACTGTTACCCAGGCAAGTGTGGGGTGTGCAGTGTTCTTGGCCGCTATACTTATCATCCCGATTTAATTATACTCCGTGGGGTTAATTTTATGTGACTGGTGTGGACTGGGAAGTTACCCGGCGCAATTCTTGATCTGCTTCGTTCTGATGGTTCATCTGCTACCATTGCTATAAGAAAAATCAGCAAGTGCACACAGCAAGTGCACTTCCTGATTCGTTTGCTTCTCTTGTGACCGGCATACACGCACCTGGTGGTGGTGGTAGCGTTGTGTGTGTGTGTGTGTGTGTGTGTGTGTGTGTGTGTGTGTGTGTGTACAATATTCAGCTCTGGCCAGAGAAGTCCGACCTCATGCATAAAGTAGCGCCGCGCTCAAGCGCGTAGAGTGTGGTGCTAAGGCCACATACCCGCCCCCCCAAGATATTCATGAGGTCGAATTTCTCTGGCCAGGACTGTAATTAATTATGTCTTTCTCCAAATATCTACTTCTGTCTCTCTTGGCCACGTCTCCCGCCCCATATCCACAAGGTTCAACTACAGTAACAAGTACGTATCTCTTAATTTGCTGGGCAAAGGTCCTATATATAGGATTTGAAAATGCGTGACCCTTATGCCGTTGTTATTGGTCATCATGAGTCATTCATGACCCATAATAAGAGCATAATGGGTTTATTAGAAGCTGTAAATATGTTTGAGGCATGAATGTTTACTTTTGAGATTCAAAGGACATCATGATTACCCATTTTGAGAAAGGATTGGAATTTTGAGCGGCATTGTTCAGCTGGTGTCATGGGAAGGACTGAAGCAGTGAATGTGCAAAAGAACATTACAGGTGTGGCACGGGGTGGTTTCATGACGACATATCGCACATGCCGTCGTGAAACTACCAATTTTAAGGATAAAACAAGGTCCAGTAAAATCTCAAATCCTATTATATAGGATTCAAAAAATAGGGCACAGGCCTTAGAAATATTGCGCAAGGAGATGAGCCTTAGATGTTAGTATTTGAAAAAAATATCTTCTTCAACTCTCCATATCGACTAAGACCTAATGCGGAAGGATTGGTCACATACGTTTCCCTATGCTCATGCCACACCCATTTTGAGTTGAAAAATATGACCAAAATCCTATATATAGGATTTAGCAAATTAAGAGATATGTGCAGTATGCTTCCTTTCATCCATACCGTGCAGTCGTAGTACAACTACAGGGGCATGATATATCCAAGAACTTTCGACATTACACATGTACATAATACAGGTGTGCTGAGTGACTTTTGGCTCGCAAACTTCCACCCTGCCACCCCATCCATCTCTCAATCGGGTATACTAGTAGCTAGTCATCATACACTCCAGTACTGTAAGCAGCAAGACACCCATTCAAAGAAGTATGAATACTGTTCGTTCTCACCACAGTCGGGGTGTCGGTAGCATCGTAGTAGAGTGGTTGCTTCTCCACCTCGCTACTCGACACCAGTGCACTCTGCTCGTTGCTGCCGTACATTGCGGCACCGGACGGACTGAGAAGCGCACCTGTGTGGCGCGGACAGCTACCCACAAAGGTTAGGGACCGGAATGACTGAGTTGAAAAGTCGCCGGCCGAAGTACTTGTAACAACTGCTCCTGACGAACAACTACTTAGCCCGTTAGTACTCCATCACCGATGAACAGCCTGCTGGTTAGGCGAGAGGTTCTGAGCAGTGATCAGAAGCGTGTAGCTGACTGCAATAGAATAAGCAAACGTCCCTATAATGTAGATGACGATACTCTCTCCTCAATTTTGTTCTGCTTCAATTATTTCGGACACAAGTACAAGCACACATCAATCGCCACTTTTGTTAAAATTTTGTTCATTTCGTTGACATGGTTGACAGGTCAGTGGATCGAGACAACCAGCTTGGGTCTTTGGCCGTTTGGGCTTTGGCCTTGGCCTGGGGCTGTCCATGGATCCAGTCTTCCAGAGAGGACTGGTAACCTGGGTCTTGCCTAGCTAAGTCTTTTGGCCTTGCTCAGTTACAGACAGTTACCATTGGTTACAACCGCATCGCCAGTAGATCTACAGTACAGTGTATACCTACGCCATGACTCATGAGATACTTGTATGACCGTGATGTGATGACACTGTTCTGCACGGACTTGCTGCAGATCATGTGATTTACAGGACGATGACGTTATGCAGGGCAAGAGGAGAACGAAGCATGATGAACACCTACCATAATGACTAATGACGATCTACGTGAAACTCGGGTGTTGCAACCAGGGAGTCGTATACCCTGGTTGCAACCCAGCTTCCCCTCTCTCTCTCTTGTGTGTATAACTGTTATCATGGTTATTAATAATTTTGTAGAATGATCTGGAACACAGGTAGATGTACCGGCACATAATCATTGTACAATGATGTAGATGAAGATTGAAGAGTCTAGTACCAGGTCTACCCTGGTCTAGACTCTAGTACGGGAGTGCACAGTCATGTGGATCCACCCAACTCCGACTCCACAGTCATGTAGATCCACCCAACTCAGACTCCACAGTCATGTAGATCCACCCAACTCAGACTCCATCCGACCGGTCGGGGTAAACCGGGTGGAACCCACCAAGTGTATGCCCCCACTAGTGCTGGGCCATTCCCTCCCCCAACTCTTGAGCTCACTTCGTTTCCATGGAATAAGCAGACTTGCCAACTAATTACTTCCATTCGTCTGTGGTAGGGAGATCTCCCAGTCCATGTTGGCCTTCCAGATAAGGTCTAAAAAGGGGAAGTGGCAATCTTTCTATCAGCAACAAACAAGAGCATTTTAATTTACAACATACTACATGAACCGGATGTGCCGAACACCGGTAACCATAGAGACAGACCACACTCGCATATACATGTTGGTCATAAATAGACCGGATAAGGAAAATAATCCGATAGCCTATGAAGAGTAAAAGAAATTGAACCAATCACAACAAAAATGCTCGTCCAGCACACGAGTTGTCATAGAAACATTGCACAGAAATGACAAAGACGCATAGTAAATGAGTATCGCCGTTCAACGTACAAAGACCCGTTCTTGTTGAGCTGGGCGGCACTAGTACCTTAAAACTTTAAAGTTAAAAGGAAGTGAGTGTAATTCGCTGCCTTGGTATCCTTATCGATAACAAGCTCTCATTTGTTCCACACGTAGATCACCTCACCAGCAAGGTGTCACGCAAGATAGGCGCGTTGCGACGCACCTTCCGCCAAATGGCAGCATTTGCCCGTCGCCAGTACCTGCTCATAATATTATCATGCTGCTGTACCACCCCTTCTTGATCTTGCTTCTTGTGCTGGAATACTCCATCTCTGCAGTAGCGGCACTACATTTTGTACTTGCATGAATCTGTAGCCTTACACAGTGTGTAGTATGTCACGCATGACCGCATGACTAAATCCAGTGTGCATTGATACCCTTTGTCGCTGGCTCCAGTACGGTGGGTCAGTTTTCAGTCATTCACCAATCAATGCATTTGTCACGTCTACCGCACTCTTTTGTTTTCCCGCACCTGTCACTGCACTGCACTTCCTCCGTGACCCGGAGCTGTTAGTACGGAGGATTAGCAAGACAAAATAATAATTCGCGTTCGCGTTCGCAAACATTTTTCAGTTCACGAACTGGATTGCGAACTTTCGCATTTTTCGTTCGGAAAAGTAGTCGGAACACGAATTGCGGATTCGTGTCAGGGCAGTCATACATTTACCACGCTGTACTGTCTGTACACAATGTACGTCGTGTCAACGTCATGCATGTGCGAATTCTGTTTGCTAATCCTTCTCATAACGCGCGCCACGGAGTTCGACTTTCCTTGGAGTGCGAACGCGAACGCGAATTTCTTCTTGCTAATCCTCCGTAATATGTTACGAGCGCTCATGTTTCCTTTGCGTCTCCTTCGGAGCGCTTTCCTGCTCTCCGTGCCTCTTTGCATCGCTGCACTTTGGCTGGCGCTGCTTGCAAGCAGTTCCTTTATATTCACATGTTCCGTGCTTTATTTGTTAGTTTTAGAGATTTAGAGTTTGTTTGTTAGAGTTACTTAGATTTAGAGATGTAGAGTTAGACCTACATGTACGAGAGTTAGAGTCAGTCTAGAGTTTGCCCGCGCTGCTTGTAATTGTTGTTTCGCAGTTCAGAGTTTGCTTGCGTTTTCAGAGTTTCGTGGTTCACAGATGTCCCTCGTTCTTCACAGTATAATTATCAGTTTGTTCTCAACAGTGAGATTCAGTACCAGAGTGTAACACTTCTCTTCAAATAAAACTCCTTGAATATCGATACATACATTTATCAATTTCTTACGTTTACGTTTATTTGTCATATTGTTCAGCCTGCATCATGCTTACGCAGTCTTTTCCCTTTGCCCACCTCTAAGCGGTCAACTCGTGGAACTACAACAAACAATTTGTCAATTTGCTTGTATAAATCCATGGTAGGGTACAATTCCTTTTCCTCCAGAGCATCCCTTATGTGGAATGCCCTCCCTGCTCACTTGAAAGGAAGTGAGGACATTAGATCATTTTCTACAGAACTTTTGCACGCTCTAAATGACGACAAATTGACTATATCCCTATATCCTATATCCCCTCCTTTTTGAAAATGTATTTCACCAATAAAATAAGGCTTGGATTTTTTTTAAACATGAATATCGACGGACTTGCCCCTTCTGTTCATGCATTGCCCTGCTCTAGTAATGGTTCATGAATCCGCCCAGTCCACATTCCTTCTCCGTTTCTCTCCATTTTTCTTTCCTTTCAGTTGCATCTTCCTCTCTGCTCTGTTTTATTTTCTCTTTTCGTTCGTCCCTCTTGATATTTGTACTTTGTACTGTTGATCTGAGGCAACGAACTGAAATAATAAAAAACAACCAAACCAACCAACCAACCAATGCAAAATTGGTTTCTAATACAGTATTTGGAAATTTCCTTCTTCCACAGACCTGAAAGACAAACCGTTGCAGCAGTTAACCTACTACTAATTCAATGTCATTGGTTCTACACGTGGCATTCACGTTTTACTGCGGGTCTTGTCAAATTTGTTCCACACGATCACAAACAATCCCATCTTATTTCGGGTACTCTTACAACATTAGACTAAGCCATAGGACGGACGTCAGTGTCTGACAATTCTTCATTGTAGTCTTAGATTTGTACCGGGAATAAATCGCCTCCACGCAGCATATGTTGTTGGTATCAGACGAACAAAGCACCTCAAATAATATTTTCAAATGATTACAATATCTACTATTTCGTCGTCTTGACTTGATCACAATCAGCACCGCCTTTTCTCACGGTCTTGTCAGCTACCAACAAACAGCGGACTTCACGAGGCTTCGTCTTGGGAGACAAACCAAAGAAAGTGTGTGACATTCCGCACTCGCCTCAGTCAAACCAACAAGTGGATCTTCATGTAAACCCGGAGAGGCGACGAGCGAATGACTATGTCAGAACTAACTTACTTCAATGTTCCGTTCGCACTGCACATGTATAGGGTCCAGCGGATAATGCTCCGAAAATGTTCGTATAATGCTAATCATAATGCTCCAAAAACTAGCTGATAATGCTGATTATAATGCTCCAACAAGGGCTATAATGCTCTTGGTTTGGAACAAAAATGGAAGAAAGGCTGCACATTGTCAAACTTCCAGGAAAGGATGCATATAGTCAATCTGCCTCTGAAGCTGCTGCAATATCTCTCACGAGCTCCACCACTTCTTAGCACAATAAGACATGATCGCGTCTCCATTGGCTGCTCTCCATTGCGACTTTGATGCAGGGCTGTGGGTGTATCAAATCTTTTCCCTTGCTTATCCATGAAGTGGGATGTGAGGCCATTATTGCTGGTGATCAATTGGATGCTGGAAGCTTATCATGGAAAGTGATATTCCTGCCTGCAGATAAGCTGTCACTGCTTCCACTCTGTGAAAAATGTCTTCATCTGAAGCAGCTTACGTGAGGTAAGTTCCTGAGAGACGATCTCAGATCGAGATCCCTCCCATTTGCGGAAATCCTGAACACACGTGGTCAGAAGTTATTTTGCCGCTCTACACCCTCTGCTTGCACTGTCTTCTTCTCCTGAGGTTGCGTAGAGACAAATGATTGGCCACAATACTCTTCTTTTCTGATAGCACTTGACTACTGTAAATATACAAAATTTCGGCGCTGCAAAATTTCGGCATTTCACGATTTTTGACATTTCGGCGGCGATTTATTTTCGGCGTGGGGTAGAGGGCATGGTATAGTGCGACAGATGTTGTGAAAATTTCATCGGCGTTTTAATTTAGGCGTTTTGGGTCGGTGCCGAATATAGCCGAAATTAAATAGCTGCCGAAAATTTGTATATTTACAGTATAGGCCTTGTATTACAATCGTCCACGACGAACTGTACATGCTTCACCAGGAAAGTAAAACATGCGCTGCTGAGCACTCAAATCGACTTGGTGCTGCGGCTATGAGAAATTCTAGTTCTTTTCGAGCCTGCTGAGCTGGACTCGGCAAAGGCAGTTATTAATTTTGGAGTAGGCTCTATCCGTTTATAGACGCTCCTTCATGCAGGTCCAAATCAATGGATTAGTGTTGACTTCAGTATCGCTAGACATGCTATGGCCAGAGCCTATGGCATAACACTTTTTATTAACAGGAAACTCCTTTTCCTCTGTTTGATATTCACTTCGCGTAGATCCACGTAGTCTCCTCCATCATCCATGGCTCTCCATGATTTCTAAACAATTCCTCGTAAATCATCGTTACGGATTTTGTGCACTTTGAAGCGTAAACAGCCTCAGTTGCAACGTTGGGCATGCTACATCACATGTACATTTACCTGACATTGCTACATAAAGACTTTATGTAGCAATGACATTACTGCATGTAGTCAGGTAAATGTAGCGCTAAAGAGTAAAGGTGTTACGTGTGACGGTGTCTACACTCACAAAGTCATGTGCCGGTACAATATTATGGCGTTGCACCTCATGCAGTCATGGCTTTAGCCGATTGTTGCCAAAAACCATGAGATTTCCCGACATTATCCACTATAAAACTCGTTATGCCGCTCAAACCTCACATAATGCTCGTCTTGTTCCTTCCTAATGCTCTAATGCTCGGATAGTCTTATAATGCCGAATATAATGCCGGCATTATCCGCTGGACCCTACACATGTACTGGCTCATGCTGCGCTGCTGATCACCCGAAAAGTGTGGTCTATACAGGATATTGCACAGTGTCCGCGAGGATTAATTTTTCATAATCCCCGCGGCGCTGTGCGCCTTGGGGATTTTAAAAATAATCCCCTCGGAACCGTGCAATATCCTATACATACCTTCGTGGCGGCTGAAACTCACAAGCTGAAGTAACTTCCAGCTCCGTGCGCTCTCGGGCAAGTCCTCGAGCGCACGGCTGAAGTTTCGTTCTAAAGTAACTTTCAGCTCACAAAGTTTCAGCTCACAAAGTTTCAGCTTTTGTCGTATTGTGCACGCCTGACTCTGCCTGGACCATTGCCCATTGGCATTGCATGGCATTGGTATGGCATGGTATTGACTGCACAGCAACATCAGTAGGCTACATCACAAAAAGTGATAATATGAAGCTCACACGTGATGTTCGCGTTCTGCTTGTGTCGAGAAACGTAACCAGCAGAGGAATTACCAAAACCACTACTATTACTGATGGTAGTGAACGTACCAGGGATAAACTATTGTACCCATTGAAGATCTATTGACTATTATTGTGTACATTTACTGACGTCCGCGAAGTAACTCAAAATAATTATGTCTGAGACTCACGTGTAGTTCTGGGGTCAGCGTCAACAGCAGACAGACTCAGTGCATGAAGAGGCGCCAAAGGCCGCTTTGGATTGCCATATTCAGCTCCGCCGACGTCAGTCACATGAGGAGGAGCGCAGGGCAGCACGCTAGACGTCAATGGCCAGTGCAGATCGCGATATCACGAGCTATCACGTGGCTCGTGTAACATCTATTCTTACATGGCTGTGCCTCAAAGTCAAAGTAGCAGCCCCTACCAAGACTAGCCCACAGCCTAGGGTGACTGCACGGCATGTACTGGTCCTCATAGTCATACCTAATGCTCAAAGAAATCATAAGAAGTAATATGAACTAAAGGTTAGATAGCTTGAAGGGAAAGAGGCAGGAAGACCGGAAGAAAGTGGCTTGCATCGGAGTAGCACATCAGGTTCGTACAACAACAACTCGTATTGCAATTGGTATATTGGCGCATAGCACTAGCGGATGGGCATTCGCCCTTCCTGTACGGACAGTTCAGAAGCCAGTGTTGATTCATTCTCTTCCGGAGATGCGTACATGGAGCAGAAACACAGAACACCGTGGAAGGAACTAATAATACATGACAGCAGACTGAGAGGGAGCTTCAAGCAACTCCCCACAAAGCTGGTCTAATGTTGAGCACAGGGCCTACTAGTACTGCTACTACTACTAGTCCTTATCGAAGTGATGGCAGCACACGCTCATCATCACCAGCAGACATGCCTTGTGTCGGCGCCGCCGCTAGCTTATTCATGGCGTGACAAACAGCGGAGTTTGATGTCTGAATGCCTGCCTGCACAGCGCAGAGAGTCAGTTGGTAAACACAACTACACGAGAGATGTGTCAAATTACAATACACTCGGATAAAGATAAGAACCCTACATATCGGAGGAAGGCTACTAAGTGTAATGGAAGGCTACTAAGTGTAATGGAAGAGTGTGCCACATAATGCGGCGCCTATGACTGGTCGTGTTGCACTTTGCAGCCAGCTGCAAGATATTTAAAAGAAAAGGACCGTCCATTGGAGAGCACTACAATGTAGAGATCATCAGATGTCAGCGCCTACTACCGACCGGCAGCTACATGTGCAGGATTGTACATGGTACATCGAAGTAGTGTACATGTATACAACTAACATTCAAATGTAAATTACAACATCCAGTGATGCTAGCTAGAGTGGACTATGTTAAACATGTAGATGATGTGCTCAAAGTACAAAGAGAGTTTGCTGCACGAAGTTTGAAATAGAAGTCGGAATGCGGAAGAAATCTTGACAAATGGGGCAGCCTGTAGCTCTTGCTCGTTCCTAATGTCTTTGGTCGCTAAACATTATGGTTAGATAACACTTCAGCTCAATGCCTACACACATGCACGCACACAGACACACACATGTGCACGCACACAGGCACACACATGTGCACTTGCTCGTTTTAGACCTTCTGATAGCCAGAGCCGCGTCGCATTCTGCGTCCGATCAGGTAGGCAACGAGTACGAGAAGTAGGAGACCACCAAGCGCCGATCCTACTGCAATGGGCACCGTCTTGCTGCTGCTCGTTTCAGTGTCGGCGGAGCATTCAGCAGTCGAGCCACTTGTAGAATTGGTGAACGGACCCAGGAGCATATCCTTGTACGAGAAGGGAATCGGGACTTGGCCGGCCGCGGACAGGGTGAGGTCCGATTCGGAATTGCAGCTGAACAGCTGGTTCTGTCCACCTCTGATGTCGATCATGTCCGGGTTGGTGATGTTCACCGTGACAATATCAGTACCATTACCACCAGGGAAATAGTACATGTCTTGTTCATTGTACGTGAACCAGATGGAATCCACTTGCCACGAAGTAGGCTCCTCATCACCTGAGCCGCTTGCCATCATGACAAAGTTCTCCCCGTTAGAGAACTGAGCACTGAGCGAGGAGGTCCAAGTAGTGTTATCGATACTGGTCGGGCACATGGATGAGCCCAGGTCACCCTGAGTAGCATTACCGCTCATAGGGGGAAGCTGAGGCAGGTTGATCATAACATTGATCTCACCAGAATCCTCGCCATCGTTTGTGTGATAGGGCACCACGAACTGACCTGCCAAACTCCACGTCGCGCAAATAACGGTCGTTCCCGGGTAGAAGATATTGTAAGTGACCTTCTGGTAAGGATCACGAGGCTCCTGTGCATTACACAGGGCCAAAAGGACAGCGAGAAACACAATTGAGACCTTCATTTTCGTCCTTCTCTTTCAATCGACAAGCAACACAATACCGGCAAACCAAGGCTAAGTGATGGAGAAGACCGAAGCGATCGGAAAAAAAAGGCTCCGACTAAGAAACATGGAGTCCAGCTCCCAGCACGGCGAGTGCGCGTGCGCCGTTGCATTCATTCTTCCAACGGGGATTGGAATTACACACGAGGTGGACATATGATGGACAGTTGCGACGTCAGCTAATCTCTCTGTGGTTTAGACTACACCGTACACTAGCACTATGCAGTTCATGCAGTGGTCTCCAGGCTCGTGACGCGCACACGTCAGCAGCAAGCAGGAATTGGGAAAAGGGCGGACTGTTCGGCGGGGATCACGTGAAAGCAAGGACCAGGCATGCCACGCACCGCGTACCGGTGTTCCAGCAGCGCAGCCAGCACGACCACACGTGCACTGCGAATGACTACAGGTAATTATGTGTCAGCTGGCCAAGGACGTGAACCATGACAATAGTACTGGGAAATTAAACGCGAAGCAGTGAATGGCTTACAGGCTTCTGTTCTGCTTTGTGGTGCAGATAGGGATCTCCGCAGATCAGTACAACAATAGAGACCAGTAGAGCACTACGTATGCGCGAGTCTGTACCCTTTATGGAAACCTTGCTTGTTATCGAGTCTGTAATTCCCAGCATAGGGGATAGACTGGCAGGCCGCACAGTACTACGCCGTAGGGACGATGAGCGAGGGGGTACAGTACGTTACCATTGTTGGAAGCGACTGGGCAACGCTAACCAGCTTACCACCCAAGCACTTGCACAAAGCGCCGATCACTACTTGCATTCAGTGGCGAGTATGTCTGCTACGTCATAGCTAGCCACTGCTGGCATGCCGTGCCCATGGCACCATCAATTAGGGATGTACCACCAGCTGATTTCCTGGTACACACATCCATGAATTGATCAGATTGTGAATACAAGGCGGAAATACAGACTAATCCAGCACTCAAGCAGACTGAGTTATACCAAGCCGATGATCTCCAGATGGCTAGAGAAAGACCGACAAGTAACCGATCTTTCCAACCACATCTGACCGCTATTAAAGGGATATACATGTACAATCGTTCAGCTGCTCTCCAGTGTAGAAGGCCATGATGAGGTGCAGCATCGTGGCTAAACGCTATGCACTGTCTTCCGTGTTTGGAGAAGCCAAGGTGGGAATCCTCATGGCCGACACAAAAATCAGCTCCAACAAGCCCATGGAGCCGCTTCCCAATCGCAGGTGTATCAACACGTTCCCCAGCCTCAGGCCTTCTACTCTAGAGATCATGGTTGTATTACATGTATTAGCTATTATCTCTAGCTAGGGATGTAGTGCTGTAGTGCTGTGGAGAATGAAGAAACAACGGCGACAAAATAGGCTTGTATGCATGACGTCATCTGTGATGGTGAGGTGTAATGTACTCAGCCGCTCACAAACCTCAGAACGAAGGCACACAGCGCGTCATGTATCATGGGTGAAGACAGAAAGAGAGAAAGAGAAAGAGAGAGAGAGAGAGAGAGAGAGAGAGAGAGAGAGAGAGAGAGAGATAAAGAAAGAAAGGGGAGGGATGGAGCAATATATGGGGAGTGAGGGAAGGAGAGAGAGGGATGAGAAAAACAGAGAGAGAGAGAGAGAGGGGGGGGGAGAGAGAGTGATAGAGAGGAGAGAGTGATTTCCTATGGCGAAGGTAACCGTTAGTCCTACATGTATTCTCTATGCATCATAATTATATCGCCATGCGATTCACTCTTTACTACCTGTGAGTACAGTCATGACTCATGGTCAATTTTACACTACTAGTCTAGTAGTGATCGGGACTGGTCGAACCGATTGCACTGAAGTCCAGTGAATAAGGTAGGGCTGCACCAACATGCCGCACTCAACTTCTAATGTGTTCTTTCTTTAGAGATCAGAGATAAGGGTTCCAGATTGTTGTCATGATCAGTATGGCAGCCACTCTCAGAAGACGATCGAGAATCGTCCCCACTGTATTATGTAGCATCTTGCTGCTGCTTCGGCTTGGTCCCGGGAAGGGAGTCGTATAGACCCCTGGTCCCGGGTAAACGGGGCAGTCAGTCGTTGAGCCAATAGTACTACTTGTCGTGAAGGGATTCAACATCATATCCTTGTACGAAAAGGGGATTGGGATTTGGCCGGGCGCGGCCAGGGTAAGGTCTGTCGTGGCGTTGCAGCTGTACGCTTGCTTATATCCAGCTCTGATGCTGAGCATGTCCGGGCTACGGCTGCTAACCGTGACTATCCCTATACCTGTACCGCCAGGGAAATAGTAAGAGTCTTGTTTGTCGTACGTGAACCTGATGGAATCTACTTGCCACGAAGTCGGCTCGGCAACACCCGGGCTGCTTGCCATCACGACGAATTTCTCACCGCGAGCAAACCGAGCACTGAGCGAAGAGGTCCAGGTACCGTTGACACTGGACGGGCACTTGGACAAGTCCAGGCTACCCTGGGTGCCACTGCCATTCTGTGGGGGAAGTTGAGGAAGGTTAATCATTACCACTATTTCGCCAGCCTTAGTGCCGTCGGTTCTGTGGTAGGGCACCGCGAACTGACCGGCTAGACTCCACGTTGCGCAAATCACGGTCGTTCCCGGGTAGAAGATATTGTAGGTGACCTTCTGGTAAGGATCGTGAAGCTCCTGTGCCTTACACAGGGCCAAAAGGACAGCGAGACACACAATTGAGACCTTCATTCTCACCCTTCTCTTTCAATAGACAGCCACAATACCACGCCGAACTCAAGTAATGAAAGAACAGCGGAGCAATCCGAATCGGCAAAGGATACAACAGCGGAGAATAGGCATTCAGCACTGTGCCCTGCGTTTTACAGTTCTAGTGACGATGCCGAGAGGTTCTTGCTTGCCTCCGCGTCTGTTAGCTACGAGAGGAATAATGGTCCACAGGCCATTTGAGAACGGCATGTGCCGCTATTATACTTATATAAAGCTCGACTGTGCACAGCTCCCTCTTGCCATTCTTGGCCGAACAGCTATCCGGCACAGTCGACGACCGTGCTCAATCATCAGAAGACAGATGCAAAAATACAAAGCAGTGCTCTTATCAAGGCATCCTGGACGCTAGCCTTTCATTGAGCAGCCTGAATGTAGGCATTCAGGAGGTAAGCAGTATTTACCGTGCTGGATGTACCGGTAACAGAGAAACACACAAAATCACGTCGTGCCTCATGATTGCAGTGTCATGTTATGTAGGTCTACACTAACTCAGTAACTGCCACTCTGATCTGAAGCTAGGCCTAGGCCTAGGGCTAGGGCCTAGGCCAGGGCCATAGGCATAGGGCCGGGTGTTTTCATGGGCATGTCTGTCACGATGTCACTTGTCAACAATGACAAAATACGGCCAGGCCGGTAGACGGGTAGGTTAGCTACATCAGTACATCACAATGTTACATGTCGAGACCTAAAAATTAACCACCAGAGCTCCAGATGCAGGCATCTCGCGCTGCACTAGTCACGTGGACGTCCGTCAAGGCTGGACACGCGGGGCGTGTTGTTGTTGTTGTTGTTGTTGTTGTTGTCGTTGTCGTTGTCGTTGTCGTTGTCGTTGTCGTTGTCGTTGTCGTTGTCGTTGTCGTTGTCGTTGTCGTTGTCGTTGTCGTTGTCGTTGTCGTTGTCGTTGTCGTTGTCGTTGTCGTTGTCGTTGTCGTTGTCGTTGTTGTTGTCGTTGTTGTTGTTGTTGTTGTTGTTGTTGTTGTTGTTGTTGTTGTTGTTGTTGTTGTTGTTGTTGTTGTTGTTGTTGTTGTTGTTGTTGTTGTTGTTGTTGTTGTTGTTGTTGTTGTTGTTGTTGTTGTTGTTGTTGTTGTTGTTGTTGTTGTTGTTGTTGTTGTTGTTGTTGTTGTTGTTGTTGTTGTTGTTGTTGTTGTTGTTGTTGTTGTTGTTGTTGTTGTTGTTGTTGTTGTTGTTGTTGTTGTTTTCTAAACAAAGACACTAAACGGAAGAATGCCGCGAGGGGAAGAATAAATGAACTACGTCACAATAGCACAATACACAATGTACTAGTACATGTAGTTGGATGAAGCAGCCGTGGAATAAGCCAGAATCATTTCAGAATAAATTGAAAATGCCATCAGTAGGTGCCTAGTGGGTGGTGAAGTCAACTCTCGTCTTCTTTTGGACTGTCATTATTATGTGTGGGAAAGTCTGCGTTTACTTTTTAAAGGCACAAGTCAAATACTGCGTGATTGAACAAGATGAGGACGTGGGATGACATACATTTACATGTACAATCTACATGTACTTCACTGTAGTTACGTACTGTACATGACAAAGAAGCGATATCTTACAGAATGCATTAGTTGTACAGTACTTTATCATACATTTGCCTACTAGTACAATTAAAGTTTCTAACTACATGTACATGTACAGTTGATTATTGCTGAAAGCCCACTCACGTGACACTACACTACAGTGCAGATGTTCATGTGTGCCGACTAAAACACATGCACATGCACATGTACATTGTATAATTGTTACAAACAATTTTGGACGGCATATTCTGTCCCTTCGCCTAGTCACTACGATCCAAGTCGAACAGAACTCGAGCACTCAACCATCAAGCACATGTTCATGATCACGAACCACTATCATGCATGGTCCTTCCGGTCTGTTTCTCCTGCCCCTGCCCCTGCCCCTTTCCCCATCTATCTCTGAGCATGCGCTCTTTCTCGCTCCACACATGTAGATCTACATGTACTACATGTGGCAACATCTTGTCCATGACCGCGCGCTGATCAGACAAACTGCTCTCCTGGATTGGTCGAACAGGACAATCTGGGATGTAAGTGCTCCTCTGAGAGCTCGTATACTACGTACTGCCCGCTCTCATGCTTCTTTGAGGCGAGAAATTTAGTGGTGATAAAGATAGCGGTGATTACCACTAGAGCCGCACCCAATGCGATGGCAAACGTCTTTTTCCAGTTACTTGCTTTGGTTGCAGTGGAGCATTCAGCCGTCGAGCAACTTGTAGTGGTCACCGCCTTCATGCTGCTCGTTTCAGTGTCGGCGGAGCATTCAGCAGGCGAGCCACTTGTAGAATTGGTGAACGGACCCAGGAGCATATTCTTGTATGAGAAGGGAATCGGGACTTGCCCGGCCGAGGACAGGGTAAGATCTGATTCGGAATTGCAGCTGAACAGCTGGTTCTGTCCACCTCTGATGTCGATCATGTCCGGGTTGGTGATGTTCACCGTGACAATTTCAGTACCATTACCACCAGGGAAATAGTACATGTCTTGTTCATTGTACGTGAACCAGATGGAATCCACTTGCCACGAAGTCGGCTCAGCAACACCTGAGCCGCTTGCCATCATGACAAAGTTCTCGCCGTTAGAGAACTGAGCGCTGATCCGGGAGGTCCAGGTACCATTGTCGATACTGGTCCTGGTCGGGCACATGGATGAGCCCAGGTCACCCTGAGTAGCATTACCGCTCATAGGGGGAAGCTGAGGCAGGTTGATCATAACATTGATCTCACCAGAATCCTCGCCATCATTTTTGTGATAGGGCACCACGAACTGACCTGCCAAACTCCACGTCGCGCAAATAACGGTCGTTCCCGGGTAGAAGATATTGTAAGTGACCTTCTGGTAAGGATCACGAGGGTCGTTTGCTTGACACAGTGCCACAAGGACAGCGAGAAACACAATTGAGACCTTCATTTTCATCTTTCTCTTTCAGTCGACAAGCAATCACTAGTAAGTGGTAGAAGAAGAACAAAATGATCACAAAAGTTCCAATTAAAGAGAATCATAGGGTGTAGTTCGCACATCCGCGTTATCACCGGCTTCACAATTCATCATAATTATTCAGAGAGTCACTCATCATGTGTGGGGTCACCACTATGCCTGATTACACCAAGCTAGGTGGCAAGACAAGTGTAGCGATAGGCCGCGAGTGTACCACCAGAGTGCCCCGTCTCGCGAGAGCGCCCCACCTTGATTTTACAGCCAAGGGAAGAAAATCGTCTGGCAGAATGCTACTAAGTAAGTTTGTACGGTGTGAGAACCTATTTTTTTAGTGTACTAAGGTCACACTTGGTTATACAATGTAAGAACACATGGAGGGCATTATGTTGATTTGGTAATGCACGACGCACCATGTGTTTATTAGACTGAAGTATATTTGAACCGTTTGTCTCTTTCCCTCAAACCAGTTAATATACTTGTACTGAAGTAGTTCATACATGCCACGTGCCTAGTTGAAGGCAAATAAGGTAAACATGGTCAAGGGAGGAGGAAGATGCCAATCGGCCGTCATATTAATGAAGGGTCGAGCAAGATGGGAAGGAGCTTTCTCCGTGGAATAATAGAACGACTTCAGGTAATACATTTTATAGTGAAAAAAGGACCAAGGAACTAAAAGTTACGCAATAATGTCCACTATCACCACTAATTACTTGACAATCAGCTCATGAGATAACATTGCACGACACTGACGGGCGATACTGACGTTCTACAACAGTACTTTTTATTTTTTTATTTTTTTATTTTTTTTTATCACATTGCACATACCTATATAGGCCTACGGAAGAAGGGGAAACAAAACGAAGACAAAACGAAGACAAAACGAAGACAAAACGAAGACAAAACGAAGACAAAACGAAGACAAAACGAAGACAAAACGAAGACAAAACGAAGACAAAACGAAGACAAAACGAAGACAAAACGAAGACAAAACGAAGACAAAACGAAGACAAAACGAAGACAAAACGAAGACAAAACGAAGACAAAACGAAGACAAAACGAAGACAAAACGAAGACAAAACGAAGACAACAACAACAACAACAACAAGACAAAACGAAGACAAAACGAAGACAAAACGAAGACAAAACGAAGACAAAACGAAGACAAAACGAAGACAAAACGAAGACAAAACGAAGACAAAACCAAGACAAAACGAAGACAAAACGAAGACAAAACCAAGACAAAACGAAGACAAAACGAAGACAAAACCAAGACAAAACCAAGACAAAACGAAGACAAAACGAAGACAAAACCAAAAGACAACAATGAGTGTGTAGGCGCTACATGAGCTGCGCTGGTGAGATGCAGTGGACTCCCCGACCAATGGTCTTGGGATCGGCGTACACAGCAAGCACCATGGGGGAGGGCAACTAACTGCCAATCAGCTCTAGCACGTCCTGGATGCGCATTCCAACAGCCTTGCAACTTGGACGGTTCTATTATTAACGTAAGTTATACTGAAGTAGTGATAAGTTCTGATAACATACATGTAGGAGGGGAAGGTTAGCAGTGCTGCACCCAGCTAAGAAACATAGGACAACCGCTAACATTTGTTGACTATCATAGCGAACATAATGACAATGCAAGTGTAACGTTACCAGGGAGTCGTAAAATACCGGTATTTTACGACTCCCTGAACGTTACTACTCGGAATTAGTTGCTACTCGAATGTTTTATGCCTATCAGTGTCAGTCACTCGGTGTTTTATGTCTGCTTTGAAGCATCAGTTTATCAATTATTTCTTGAAACTCTGAGTGAGACGGAGGGAGACGACATGCACGGGCGACTCATGGCGCTAAAATGATGTACATGTACAGTAGGTTTTGACCCCGGATTGCCAACTATATTACACACTACAGTATTACAAATTTACAATCGTCCTTGGGGCGCGGGGCCGACCTATCACCCTCACTTCGAGGCATCGCTTGTCTGGGCCACGCTTGACCCCAGCACGTCTTCAGGCCAATGTTCGCCATTGCGAGTTGACCGCTAGACCACAACGAGCACGGAAGATCTACGACTTACTAGTACACCATGGTACACAGATCACGCGGTGCTCCCAAATCTGGGCATGGGGTCTACAAACGCACATCGTTCCCGGAATCTAAAATCATGACTGTTAGTCATAGTGTTATGTATCAGTGTATGATCTCGTGTCGACTCCCGCTACGACTGCTATTCCTCATACACATGTATACCGGTAGTGATAGTAGCTATCCCGGAGTGTTTCTTTGTTTTCCAGAACTTATAAGTTAAATGCTATGCGCCCAGTGCGTTGAGCACCGGTCCAGCAACAGTTACTAGTGTTGCTACTCGAAGTACATGACATAATCATTGTACACGATCGACATTGTACAGCCATTACGACATCGTGAGATGCTCAGTCCATGATCCATCTACCATCCGTGCTCTACAAACAAAGAAAAAAACGATATCAGTGGCCGAACATTTCACACAGGGCCTGCATATTCACGCTGTGGCGGTGTGTGGGTGGTGGGAAGGTTTAGTGCATGCCGTTTCCTTCTGAGTGATCTTCGGATTTCGTCGCGGAACGGACAGGTAGCGTGGTCAGTCTTTTGAAACCAACACAATAGAGGTGCAAAGTTACCGAGTGACAAAGAGGTGAAGATATACGTACATGTACCATGATTATAGTTTTTTATTTTTATACATTGCTAGTCTGCACTAAAACAATAATTGATGAGAGTTGGAAGGTACTTGTCCTGTCGGGGCAGACGTCAGGGATGGTCATATTGCAGCACTATGACCAGCAGCCTGGACCTTCTCCTGGAATGTCACATGGCCTGAAATTCTTGGCTTTGTGGCAGGACTGGTGTTGTAATAATCATTGTCCTATCAGTGAAGACTGCTCTACCAGGTGCTAGGCAGTGTACAGTGTACAGTGTACAGCGAGGCTATTGGGGGTAAAGGGGAGGTACAGAAAGTGTATCCAAAAATGTTCAACATGATAATTATGATACAGTATAAATCTACAATTGTGCTGCATTCTGGCATGTACACGCATGGCAAGCGCGCGTTGCACTTGGGTTTGCACGCACCGGCACGCACGCACCCACACCCACACACACACGCACACACGCACACACACACACAGCTGTTCATTCAGATTGGTGATCAGAGAAAATGCTCTCCAGAATCGGTCGGAGAGTACAGGGTAGTGGGTGACTTGGGCTGTTCTGGAATCTCATCCAGTTTGAACTCGCCGCGCTGTGAGCCAATCAGTTTAGCAATGACAAAGACGGCGGCAACTCCCAGCACAACACCGACAACAACAGAAAAGATAATAATACCGACTGTAGCTCCACTACTCAGGCCACCGGATTCACCACTGGTCTCCAGATCACTGCCATCACAGTCAGTGTCTAGTGACTTGTCACAGTCTTCTGTCACGTCCGCAGTGGATACACTCGGTCTCACCACGGTGCCTTGGCCAGTTGCCGTGACCATACCTTTGCTGGTGCCTTGGTTGCCGCCGGGACCTAGTCCACCACCGGGACCTTGGTTTCCACCACCGGGCAGGGTTGGTTTAACCCGCACTCCACTGCTGTCACCGCCACAGCCCGAGCCAGATCCCTGAAAGTCCTCATCGTCCGATGAACAATCCGCACCCTGATACGGGATGGAGATCTGTTTCGGAGTTACCTGGTGTGTCTTGATGCGCACTCCAGTTTTCATGGCCAGCAACCTGTCTTCAAGGGTTGAATTGGACAAGATTTCCAATGGCCGGATGTTGTTGACATAGATTTCCTTCAGCCAGCCGCGGAATCCAATAGCATTGTCAATGTGTCGCATGGCGGTCGGTAATCGGCCTGCCTGAACTCGGGAAACTCGCAAGTTCAGCAACCCTGTTCCCACTTTGCACACGGTTTCCTTGCCGTCAATGATGAGCTTGACCTCACTCCTGTGCGCGTGCACTCTGACATGCACGGCATGCTGATGGGCGCTCTTCTCTTTCTTCAGTGCTGCCTTGCACCTGTGCACGGTGTTGGTACGGACAACCAGCGTGATCGATCCAGCCATATCGCTGGTATACAGCCACATGCCCCTGCGTCCGCTGTGGTCAACGGCAGCAATCAGCTCAACAGGACGAGTGTGCTTGCCGCCGGGAGGCACACTGGTAAGGAGTACATGTAGTGTATGTAGTGCCATTTTGCCCGCGAAGAACACACCCAGTGAGGAGGCAGTGCTGTTGAATGTACCAGAAGCAGCAACTGTGCATCGCCATCAGCAGCAGCAGAAGTAGCAGCAACAACACAAGCGGAAAGACACACATGAATGAACAGACATGAACACAAAGTCAGGAATGTGTCTCAACACACACGCAAGCACGGACGCACACACGCACACTCCAAGCTTGCCCTATTCCTAATGCCAAACGCCATATCTATTTCAGGAACTAACTAAATTTGGAGGCAGATGCTTTCCGTCTCCACATCGATTACTGGTATTTACAGATACATTAGCGATGCCTTTACTGTGGCAAACGACATCATTGAGGTAGGTTACCAGTTGATACGTACATATTATTCGATAAGGTCTGTGCTTACCTTTCTCACACAGTTCCCCAACATGGCCAGTACCAGTACAGCTGCAGGTACGGCCAAACTTGCTGGATGAACATCTTCCATTGTGTTTGCAAGGTGAAATCTTGCAGAAGTCAGCAGTCGATGGGCACTGGTAAAGCACAGCATTCCTGAGCGACTTTGATCTCCCAGTGCCGCTCACAGGCGATGTTGCAATGCGTGGCCTTTGTGAGCACGTCGAGACATGCAGCAGGTCATCCATGCAGGTCTCTCCCAATGTGACGTTGCCAATGCAACCAGCAAAGCCCGGTGCTGGGTTGTCGCTTTCTTCCATTGGACTGTTCATATCACGGCAAAAAGACCCAGCAATATGAACCATGTTTCCGAACATTGCTGGGCCTTCCATTGACGCAGAGTGCATTACGCGGATTGTTTCACCACTCAGGATTTTCAGGACGATAGTGTTTGGTGAGGGCGATGTCAGTTGCAATGTGTGGTAGTCGCCTCCAGTGTAGTTATCCCGCGAGCAATTTGTTCGGTATGATGTTTCACCCAACGACTGCACTTTCAAGCACACACGTCCCCGGTGCAGAATGACTAGGATACGGCTGCTGTTGCTGCTGCTGGAGTTGTTTGAGCCCGATGACAGAATCGTAGCGGATTGCTGGTCGGTGGCAAAGAACAATGAGATACGGTGAGTGGAGATTGTTTGCCAGTCAAAGTCTATCTGCATGGCAGCACTGTGTAGTGTAGGGAATGGCCAGACTGCAGGTAGGAGAAGAGATGAGCTTGGTCCGGCCGAGCAGAGTGGTGTGGATGGAGGACATGATTTGCCAATGTGAAGTCCAGTCAAGGCTGCGCTGTCGACGTCTTCACCGGCAACCGTGACCTTTCTCATGCACCCAATGTACGGAGACATGACAGTGCTAGCAGCATCAGTCTGCTTCCCATGCTGGACATAACCACCGAGCGTGATACTTTTCATGCTCGGGCAAATCACCTCCATCGGCTCTAGTGACTCCACAGCTTGCTGATCATCCACCTGTAGAGTGACTCTGCATTGTAAAATGGACACACTCACACGATACCACGTGTCAGTTTTTGTTACTCGCTCATCAACAGCCAGTACAATTTTCCGGCGGTCTGACGTAATGTTTACAGTTATTCCCCCTTTGTCCAGTGTTAATGTCATCCATGAGCTGCTAGCGATGGTGCTGGACAGGCGATGTGGTCGTATGTGAGCGCTGAAGAGCATTTGCTTGGAGCAGGGTGCAATTCCAGTCGAGCACGTGAAGCATAGATCTCTCTTCATGGCAAGCGGTGCTTCATCAAACGTGATGATATCAGTGTCTGTATGTGTGGCACACAGAAAATATTACATTAATTTTGGTTTGTCCAGATACCGGTACCTTAAGCACAGATTGGTTGGGAACGTTTTACATACTTGAGAAGGGAGATTGCTTGTAGGGTTTGGGATCAATAAAATAATTGTTGCTTACCGAAGGGGTTGGGGGGGGGGGGGGGAGGGGAGGAGTCTGAAGCCGTTTGTGAATACATACATGTATACAATATATACTTTGAAGTACACACAATGCGTGTGTTTTGTCCAGACAAGGCTCACAATATATTAATACAAGGTGTGTTTGATTTGGGTTGTTGACTGATTTGACTCTCTGTGCAGATAGTTGGGATTGCTGAGGAGTAAACCTGTATTCAGATCTGAATGCCAGAGTGTGGTTGCAGGGTTCTAGCCAGGTCAAAATGGTAGGGGGTGAAAACCACAAAAATCGACAAAACAGTAGGGGCACCACATTTTCCACAGGAGGGGGGGGGGCTCAATCAGAGTAGGAAGATGCTGCCCCCGCCCCCCCCCCCTCCCCTCCTTTTAGCTAGAATCCTGGGTTGGGAACTTTGCACAAGAATACCTGTTTGAAGTTATGCTGTCATGCTGCTTTGCCGAGTGGAAGAGAGTGCATGTAATAGTCATAATTTGAGTTGTGGATATTTTGCTGGTGTCATAAAACTAGAGCCGGATTAAAACTGACACATCCCTACAAGTTATGACCATCTCTGACTAACTTGTGTAGTACTAACCTTCTTCACAGGTCTTGCCCGTAAACTGATTGGTACTACAATCACACTCATACCGCTGCCAACCCTGCATGCACGTGCCGGCATTCAGACATGGATTCTGACGACAGCCATCTCCCGGCCCCATGCAACCAGGACTCACGCCTGCCATCCCCGCTGCTAGCTGATCCTGCAAGGGTATCAGAGTACGATCGACTGCAAACAGAGCTATGCAACCACTGTATGGCTTCAATGATACGTCCGAAACTTGTCCGAATGAGAAGAGCAGTTTCCTGCTCGATCCAACGTGATAGCACGGCATGGCAGGGCTTGATCGCACTAGCAGGACATGACTGGATCCGTCCAGGTGAAGTTTGATTGTGCAGTGACTCCAAAACAGCTGCACTGATACCCTATGCCACTCTCCATCAGCAACACCTCCTCCCGCTGCCGTCACTTCGCCAGTAATGTTGTGCATGGAGTCCTGTATGCCCAGCACAAGGTTGCCACATTGAATTGTCAGCGAAACGAGCAGGGTGGAATTGGTTGTCTCCAAAACGCCAACATCCATTTCATTTGTGCGAAACCTGAAAGAGAGAGATACGAAGAGATGAAATACGAATTTTGTGCCGCAGAAGCTTGACTCTTCTGCACTGAGTTTCCAGCATCATAATGCAGTCCCAGTGACATTAAATCACGACAAGTATTTGAACTATTAAACTAACGTGTTGAACTGACAAAGTATATGCTTCAAACCAAGTGTGCATAGTACAATGGTAGCATATAATTATGTCAGTGATAGTGCTCTGCCCTCGTCGATGGCTCGGATTTGGCTGAAGGCTCAGGGCCGCCGGACCCGGTCCGGTTAGTCCGGTTGTCACCGGACCAACCCGGGCTCAGGACACCCACTGGGATTTGGCTAAATCCGGGGAGAAAACATTCTGGGTATCATCCGATCATGCATACCTGCACCCATACGTTGTACATGCACCCATGCAACCAAAGTGCAGAAAACAGGCTTTTTCAACGCGTGCTCCGGGACTGTAACGTCCGTGGGTTGGTGAGGCTTGTCACGCACGACAAAGGGTATGTTGTCACTGGCCTTTGCTCCATTGGGATCAGAAGAGCGCGAAAGCCTCCGGCTTCACTTGCCACGTTGCGCTATCAAAGAAGCTGCTGAGTTCGTCATGCGTGGATGCAGCGTTCCTGACCAAGGGATTCCAGAACTGAAAAGACACTGCGATAGCGTTTCGAAAGCACGAGCATTCCGACTGCCACAAAGAGGCTGTGAATCGCATAGTCACTCTTCCATCATCTTGCGGAGACACCCATGAGCTTCATGTGGTGGATGCTGCTCTAGCGAAGGAGAGAAGTCAGCAGAGTTCTTGACCACTCTCCGATTCCTTGCCCGGCAAGGTCTTGCAGTCCGGGGTGACGACATTGGTGAGCCTGACGGGAACTTTCACCAGCTGCTCGCCATGTTATCCTCACATGACGGCAGTTTGGACAAGTCGCTTCAGCAAAAAAACTGGGAAATACGCTAACCACGAGCTCCAGAATGAGCTCCTGAGAGTGATGGCAATGAAGATCCTGCGGAGTGTTTGCGGACAGCATTCAAGCAACACATGTGTTGCATCATGGTCGATGAGACCACAGCTGTCAGTACGATGGCAGGGGCGTACACCGCTCGCCTCTAGGAGTGGTTCCCATGCCAACTGATCAACCAACATAATTCCACACGGCTAGTGCTCTTATACGTATCCGATGGAGTTTCTGCATAAACTGCTGGATAATGTCACTGCTACGCATATTTGATTTAAAAAGACTGACCTTTGCCAAGGCATTTTTATGGATGTTTTGTTCAGCAGGACGATTTCATGTTATGCCGTGAAACGAGTCGCTGAAGCACATCCACACGCTCAGTCTTGAGTCGGGTTATATTCTCGGGAGGACTGCGGTAAAGCTGCCCAAACTTCGAATCACCTGGAGCAAACATTACACAGGGCAAGCAGAAGCCACCATGGCACGCCGGTCAAAAGACTACCCAGGGAAACTCCTCCAACCAGGATAGTTGAAAGCGGCGCTGTTTGCCACCCGTCTGGACACGCACAGGAAACGAAGTCCTTCGCCTTCAGTGCAGCTAGTGGCGCACAATGATTGTCAATGACGGAAATCTTTTCCATGTATGGCAAATTTCGGAGGAATCAGGGATTCCACCGTGGAGGTACACTTTCAGAATATCCTTTCCAACACACTCCAATGTCACTGAAGTAAGTCTTGGATGATCCAGCAGCTTCCAACAACGGTCGCTCTACAGCTTCGCCGACGATTCCGTCCTCTGTGCTGCTCGTTGCAGACTCCACTTGGAAGTCAGGTGCGTCCGCAATCTCATCTATTGCTTGACCTTCGTCACTGGCTACACGCTTTGCCTCCTGCTCAAAATAGCTCTGAATAGAGCGCTGGCCCTCTGGATGTCGACTCTTCATTTTTCTTTTCCACAAAGCGAAAGCATCGTCAAAAACGTAACCAACTTTGTCGAAACAAACTGCAAAGGAAATGACTCTGAGATCGAGGAATCGCTGTAACTCGTATATAGAGACTTCGTTGCACCCAGTAAGTTCAGTAGGTCTACGCTGTGTCACAAAAATGCCTCAGCAGCACTTTTACACCTGGCCTTGTCACCGTCCTCGGACGGTCAGGCGGACTGCAGGCGACTACGTCGCCTAGGCATGCATGCACGCTGGGCCTTGATCAAAACATTCTCCGTAGATCTACCCACATCGAAATTATTTTACTGGTTCCCGGGCATCCCGGGAACCGCCCTATGTACGCCCCTGCGATGGAGCAAGTCACCACAGTCCTCAGGTGGGTTGACTCCGATGTGGAGCTTCATGATGACTTCATTGGGATGTATGCTGCAGTAAACACGACAGCTGACCACATTGTCCAGATAATTCTTGACACTTTACTGCGGCTGAATCTGTGAAGCTGGACAACTGCCGAAGTCAATGCTATGATGGAGCTGCCAGCATGCAAGGTGTTTGCAGAGGAGTTGCCGCACAGCTCTCTGCCAAGGAACCCCGCGCTCTATTCATGCATTGCTATGGTCACGCTTTAAACTTGGCGTGCCAAGTTACCGTGAGGTCTGTCAATTGTTTGAAGGCATCCCTCGACACAGTGTATGAGATTTCAAAGCTCATGATGTTCTCATCTAAGCGGCACACTGCATTTTAAAGACCATGAAGAAGCAAATGTCACCAGGGGAGCCGGGCCTGCGGACGCTCTGTCCGACAAGGTGGACTGTGAGAGGCGATGCGCTCGGGAGCATTCGTAGTAATTACGCAGTACTGCAGGAGAGCATGGAGCAGTTCAGTGACATGGCCAAGAATGACATGGAAATGTCAGCCAGGATTTGCGACATTGGTCATCAGCTGAAGCAGGTTGATTTCTTGTTTGGAGTCGTGCTTGGTGAAAAGCTCCTGAATCTCGCCGACAATCTAAGCCATGCCTTGCAAAAGAAATCTCTTTCAGCGGCACTCGGGCAATCAGCAACAACAATGACTCTCGACAGATCAAGTTGAAGGACAAGCGAGCTGACAATGTTTTTGATGATTTCTGGCAAGAAGTCACAAGTGTGCAAAGTGGACAGTCATTCGATGATGAGCTGAGTAAAGTTGGCAAGCTCTACAAAGATGATTTTGGTGTTTCAAGGCTTGAAGATCAACTGTCCTTGCTGCAAAGTCAGTTTGCTCGCAGTTGTGAAACTTCTAGCCTTGAGTCCTTGCTGGTGCAAGTTCTTCAAGGCACGACCTGAAGCAAAGGAGCTATTATCTAAAGTTTGCACCCTCCTGAAGTTGGTTTTGGTCATGCCAGCCACAAATGCTACCAGCAAGTGTTCTTTCTTGGCTCTAATGCGATTCAGGGAAGAGCTATCTCCGCAGCACCATTCCGCATTAAGCATATGATGCTTCTTCGTATTCACCGAGATGCTACGGATAGCCTAACGCTTGTGGAAACACCTTTGTCGCAGGAAGTGACCATCGTCTAGCAGCCTTCGGCAAATTCCCGGGCCAGTGAGTTTCTCGCCACACTAACGCCGTTCAAGTGACTGTTCTTGGATCAACAGTATTAGGCTCAGTGTTTGTTGCACACAATACTTCCTACATGTACATGTCATAATATACTGTACTTCTCAAATTTTCACATTGTATAGAGACTGCTGAAATGATCTGTAGTTTTTGCTGTAGATATGAATTTGTATTGCCGAAGTTCTTGAAGCTGACAGCATTCTTTCACAACATATCTGATTATAATGGTTATACTGTATTGATATACATGCAAAATGATTCCTTGTAGCGGGCTCTGCTATTTCTGACCGGATTTTCAAAGTATTTCCAGGGGATAACCCTGACCCCCCCCCCCCCCCACCGAACCAACTTCGCCCACCTTCCGGTGGGCCAGAGGCTGTGCTGACAAGGTGTAACTCGTTACACTTCTGCACTGGTCAGAGGAAACATTGGGGACAGAGCAGCTAGCATCGGCTCAACTGACTCAGGGCAATTGCAAGTTAGTAGCAGTTGGGCTGGATTATTGGTTGGCTTTTAGCCCAAACCTCCACTCAAGTCTTCTTTCTGAGGACCCGTTTCAAATCATGGGAACAGTCTGCAAAAATCTAAATCTTTCTCTTTGTCGTACCCCCTCCCCCAACCATCACCAATTTCTCTGTTCACCATACATACATACCAGAAGCTCAATTCTTCCTCCACTGGAGCTGGTAGCATAAACAGGCCTGATGCTGACATTCTGTGTAGTGGCTGGCTTACAGTCAGTGACTGTGAAGCTGGTATGTGCAAAGGCTCAGGACAACTGCTAGCAATGTTGCCAGTCATGTTCACCTGAATTCGTGTAGCAAGACGTTGCTTGGGACTTTGTGAAAGACCGATCAGATTTAGATCTCCCAAGTAGACATCTTGAAGGCAGCCGTGGAAGTGGTCCTCCATCAGTGGTGTGCAACCAAGGGCCAGGAAAGACGTGATCAGTGGAGGCCGCAGTGATGCTACGTTGCCGCTAGGTAGCTGGATAGACTCGACGGCAGCTCTGTCCAGCTCCACTCGTATGGTGTTGTCCTTCGTGAAAGTAATCTGCCCAGAACAACAGAGACAAAAAAAACCCAGACGGTTATTCTTAGCACACTCTGCTACTATTGCAGCTATATACCCACTACACCATCACATCGGCTGGATAGAGCTGATTGTGCCAAGCTTAAGAGGCACATACCTGGTGGGCTGGTCGGTCAGCATTCACACAAACTACAATGTTTTTTCCTGACGGAGTTTGTGATCGAGTATGAGCCAGTGTTGCTCACAATTCATTTTACTTATTTAGCTGTGCAAAGTGTTCCAGAGAATTCTAACCGTTACATCGAAATGTTCTTTGTCCATGAAATGCAAACATGTGTGATAGACCGGGTGATAGAAGTGGAAATGATCACTCTCTCAGCCGCATGCTTGTGCGCTCGTACATATAAAACAATAACAAAACCCGTCACTAAAGGCAATGAATGCTGTAGAAAGATGATAATTGGCATTACCTCCACTGAGTGCCATTCAACACCACTAGCCAGCAAGCCCTTGCCCATGACGGCACTAAGATGTGGGGCTGGCGTGTGACGGACATGGACAGAACCTGTGTCAGAGAGGCGAACGTGGAGAGAATCGGTTAGCAAAAGCGTGCCAGTGGCATTTGAGCGGAAGCGGATGTGGAACCTCCAGGCAAGCTGCAGTGGTTGCAGGGGATCTAGCTTGAAGTGTGCACAACTGCCGCCATCCAACCTCATGACTGGAGATTCTGTGAAGCAATCGTCAAAGGGAGCAGACAGTCACAGAATGCGACATTAAACATGATATACTATCCAGTACACATTACAAGGTTGAAACCATTACTAGGCTTTCCCCAAATCGGCTCGCTTTTTTTGCCTATTCGGCTTTTCGCTAAGCTCAAAAATACACTAGATTCGGCTGCAAAATCAGCTGACTTTTCGAAAATCGGCTGCAAAATTGGACTACAGGTGGAATCCTGATAATTCGAATCATGATGGCTAAGGGGGGAATGACCCTTCGCGCACGCCATACTGGACCGTACATGTCCAAACGACCACAACTTCTGTTTCCTTCAATATTTCTTGAAGAAATTTTCACCATGTCTTGATGGAATAACATACAACAGATCAATGGCACTCTGAATGAAAATAAACTAAAGAAAGTTGGAAGATTTGACAACAAAAGGATAATTATCGCACAACGGACAAAAGCTAAACGGTGCGCAATTTTATCAGAATGTAGTTCATCAGAATCATCTCTTTCAGCCATAGATATTTAGATTACAGGTACACGCAGTGCGTTTGCCTAATATCACACAGTCCTAAACATCAGTGGCAGTGGTACAGCTCTCACATGCTGCACTACCGCACATGCGCAGTTTCCTCATGGATGGAATGGGCAGAATATGCACACAGGATTGAAGAAATCTCCTGCCCATAGGCAAACGCACAAGCTGACATCACACAGATTTCAAAAATGTATACTTTTGCATGTCCATTCTGTACAAGTGAGCCAGGAAACTGCGCGGAGTGTCAACAAACCACTAAAAATGGCGAAAATTCAGGGTATATTTAGGTCTATATTCAGGGTATGTTCAGCACTTTTCATACAGCACCATCACGATGCAGGCAGATAGCTGCACTAAAACTTGCCCGGTCCATAAGTATCTCCTTCCTCTTCAATAGTGGTCTCCTCCCAGCCCTTCTTTCGCCTTCTTCTCTTCTTTCTCTTCTCCTTCTCTTCTGCTGAACCTTTGCGATCGGCTTTGCTGATGCGGGTGAAATCCTCATCTTGGCATGCTTTGTGGGTCAGCACGCCAGGTACACAGTCTGCTTCCAGAAGCACACTCTCCACAGCCAGTGCACCATCATTGAAGTGGGCAACTGCAAGGGTGGCAGCGAACCGGACAACATCAACGCCACAGAAGCTTTCCTTCTGGCACATACCCCAGATGACGCCGTTGAAGCTTTCATTCGCATTCTGCGTGGCTCCGAGGAGGCATCTCTCGAGAAGCTTGCGCTCTGTCAAGCGGAGATACAGTGGCTTGACGACGTCAAACACGGCCTTGGGGAGAATGTGGCGATGGGTGTACTCATCCCTGACTCCAGCCTGCACCAACTGCCACTTGCACCAACTGTCAGGACCGGTCGGGCAAAACTGGTGCTGGGGATTGTCGTCTGACGAACACCGGTGCATAAGGCCACTCCAGATAGCCCGGGCCATGCCTTGGATGTCTTGGCTGTGCTCCCTCACTGCCCATCCATAGTACGTCTGGAGAGTGTCAATGGCTTTGTTGGTGAGCCGGCCTTTCCCAGACAACGCCTTGCCGTCTGACAATTTCGTACCCTTCATCGTCTTCTTCAGCTCCCGCAAGCCCGTGCCGATGCGTTTCTGTACATGTCCAATGCACTCCTCCTTTTCAATGGCTACACCATTGTACGGGTCAGCTTCAACGACAGAATTGAATGCCTTACTGTCGCCATCTCCGATGTACGTTGTATACCGGAGACCACGATCAGCAACAGAGCGACTCCATATGATGACAGCTGCCTCGCTCTCCATGGCTGGTGCAGATCGCGCTGTATTCACTCCACAGGTGTGGGTACCTTTCCAGGCAGTGAAATCAGCTGCACTAATTCTCCCGGACTCCTTCCGGTCGTTCCACACGACACATTCCTGGCAGTACTTGCTGCTCACGTGTATGTCCAGTACACGGCCTGTTCTCCACGATATACAGGCAAAGACACCGTAGAGAGACGTATAGCCGCGCCTCATCCAGGTGCCATCGCAAGTTACCGCCACGGTGTCGCAACCATTCAGCACCTTTACCTCATCAGCAGCATTGACCATGCTCTTATGAGCCACAGTGGCTGCAGCGATCACGAGTGCTTCCTGGTGACGGGTGTAGGCATGTGTGTTCACAGGGCTGGGCATGTCCATGGTTCCGCAGAACTTATTCAGAGCGGCACGTCCCTTGCCAATTCTCCGCATGGCTAACACTGATCGCCGGTTGACGTCAAAGAACCGCTTCTCTTTCAGGCATAGGTTAAATCTCCAACTGTGACTGCATAAGACATTGTCGCACTGCACGTGCACCACCGATGCGAGGCCAACAGCGCAGCAGTCAACAATATTTATTTTTCCAGATTTGCACTCGCTACACACAGTGGCCACGTCCAGAAGCTCCTGAAGACATTTCAGGTACACAATTCTGTTGCTCCGCAAGCAATCCTCTTCTATCTCTTCTCCAGATCCCTCAGACGCCTCAGTATCGTCGTCCTCAGAACTGTCTGGGTTCGAGTTCACATCTGAGCCGTCGCTGCTGTCAAAGCTTTCATCAGCTAAATAGGCCGGCTTCCTGCTCAACTTTCGCGTGGACGCGCTCTTCTCAGTCACTTCAACATCACTGGCGACCTCAGGAACCTCAACGACATCGTCGACTTCAGCAGCAGCTGGCTTTGGACCAAAATATTTCCTTTTCTGTCGTCTAGAACGTCCACTCGAGCTCGTTCTTCGGTTCCCCATTGTTCAAATTTCAAATAATAATTATTATTTTGTTCTCAAGGCAGGAAGCTGTTCAGCGCTTCTCCTTGTACGCCATGGTATCCAGTAGCAACGATTTCAAGTCAAAAACTCGCTAGTAGTACGCGGTTTCAGTGAAAATCACCGACTGCATGGAGTGCAAAATTGTACAAATTTTCGTTCCGTGCGTACTCATTTTCATTTGAATTGTTGAATTTGAAACGGTCGTAACTTTGGAACCAGTAGTCCGTTTCACCAAAAAAATTGTTTCTACACCCTATAGGGTCCGCTGGCCTAGTTGGATACCCAAAACAGCCAGAATTGAAACTTTCAATTTTTGAGTATCTGAAGGGTCATTCCCCCCTTCATTCCCCCCTTAAGTCGAACATACCGCTTAATTAGAAGTTTTTCCAGGACCAATTTAATTCTGTCAATACGATTCCCACATAATTTTTTTCTGATAATTCGAACCTCGAACCGGACATGTCCGATTAATTCGAAGTTCCACGGATTCCACTTACATAGAAAATGTGTGGGATTTGTGCTGATAATTCGAAGTTAGCAAAGTGTAATTCGAAGTTCACTGTACACTGTACTGGTCAGTTCAGTTTGCATGAGCTGCTGAGGCTGTGGTGGTCAGTTCAGTATCCGAGAAATCTGTGTCTAAGGTCCATAGCGCAACTCTGCGTGACCATGGGAGCATTTTGACATACATATTGTGTTGTGGGTTCATGTTTGGATAATTAGAATGTCCGGATAATTAGAAGTTTTTTGCTGGCATTTGGAGGTTCGAATTATCAGGATTCCACCTGTATATTGGAAAATCGGCTAAAAGAATTGTGGGCATATTGGCTTCAAAATTGGCGAGATGCAGGAAGATTTGGTAGGTTTTCGGCGATTCTCAAAGAAACCCTCCAAAATCGGCGAAAAGCTTAGCGATTTTTCGATAAGCCTCGTTTCCGGCGAATTTTAGGCCAGCCGATTTGGGGATTTTACTAGTAACGATCTTCCTAATGGCTAATGTTTGTTTGAGAGGAGGTCAAAGGACACGAGTCACACTACCTCAACACACTAGTACTACAAGTACTGAAGTAGAGAACTCGAGCGGTCATGCTTGCAGCAACAGCATTCGTTTGTAAACGCACTTTGCAACAAAATTTTGTAGATTCTCGCGAATTTTTCGGCCGGCCGATGTGGGGAAAGCCTAACCATTACACTAACCCCAAGGTTTCATAGCACCAGTTTAGTTTACTAGTATATCATAATTATACTGGCAATATGAAACCTTGGGGTGATATGTCTACAGTTAGCAAGAAGACATTTATTATAAAACAATCTGAAGAGAAGGAAAACACAACTGAAGAGGCAAAACACATGAAGCACGGAAGTATCTCCCAAGCCAAGCAAGCATGCCGTTATGGTGCGAGGTCATACAACTGTGGTACAAATCTAGTACGGGAGTACATGAACTACAGGTCAAATATGGCATGGGGGAATCCATATACATCACGCCCCTTCGAGATAATGCTGAGAAAACAAATCCAGTATTATCTATCAAATCCAAACAAACAAACAAATAAGTATGGCAAGCAACGGCACACGGCGGAACAGACATAGCATGCCACACAAGGATACAGAAAGATACGATATGAGAACAATCCTCAAGAACATGTACACGATGTGTCCAGAACAAATCAAGATGCATAAGACTGTCCACGGGTGGAGGAAATGTTCAAACGAGAGGGTGGTTGGTGTGCTCGTGTGCTGCGACGCAGAGGAGGAGGCGTAGCAGGAGCAACGACAACAGACGGCTGTGGTGAAACACATGGTGCTGGTGACGGCACGGGTGGAGTGAACGGACGAAGAAAACGGCGATTTCTCCAATAAACTCGACCACTAGCCAACTTGACGAAATAGTCACGGTGCTGCCCAATGGCCACAATCACGCCACGGGTTGTCCAACGCTTCGTCTTCGGATCCTGGACGTCCACAGGAGTGCCGATACGGAGAACGGGAAGAGAGCGGTGGGTGGGAGTACTGGCGGAAACACGTGTCGAGGGTGGTGACTGTTCTTCACGCTCACTAGCGACGGTCGACCACGAGGAATCAAACTGCGTCCACTCAGCAATGACGAAAGACCGAAGTGGATGCCCGAGAAGATGCTCAGCTGGGCTCTTGCCAGACGGACCGGGCGTATTCCGCCACTCCAGTAGACCACGACGAAAT